CCATTCTGAAAGGGCCGGCCCTCTTCCTCCTCTCTCCTGCCAAACCAGGTCTGCGGCCCAGGTGAAGGCAGCTGAGAAGAAGGTGGAGCAAGCAGTGCTGGAGCCCCTCCTGCAGAGAGTGCAGGTGAGCCAGGATGCACAACAGGAGGAGGAACAACAACAACAACAACAACAATGGGGCACCCCTTCCCTTCTTTGCAGTGCTGGTTTGGGGGCACTCCCCAGCATCCCTCCCTTGGTTCAGTCCCACATGGCAAGGGCCACTTCTCAGCCATGTCCTTGCTTGCCTTGCCTTCCTTTCCTTCTTTCTTTCTTACCTCCCTTCTTTCTTTCCTTTTCTCTTTTCCTTTTCTTCCTTCCTTTTTCCTTTCTTCCCTTCTTTTTTCTTATTCTTTTCCTTCCTTTTTCTCTTTCCTTTCCTTTTTTTCCTTTTTTTTTTTTCCCTCCTTCCTCCTTCTTTCCTTCTCCCTCTTCCTTTTTTTTCCTCTTTTTCCTCCCTCCTTCCTTTCTTCCCTTCCTTTCTTTTCCTTCCTTCCTCCCTCCTTCCTTCTTTCCTTTCCTTCTTTCTCTCATTTCCTTTTCCTTCCTTCCTTCCTTCTTTCCTTTCTTTCTTTCTTTCTTTTCCTTCCTTCCTTCGTTCCCTCTTTCTTCTTTCTTTCCTTCCTTCCTTTTTTTCTCCTTTCCTTCTTTCTTCTTCCCCTTCCTTCCTTCTTTCCTCTTCCTTTCTTTCCCTTTCCTTTCTTTCTCTTCTTTCTTCTTTTTCTTTCCTTCCTTCCTTTCTTTCCTTCCTTTCTCTTCTTTCTTCTTTCTTTTCCTTCCTTTTGTTTCTTCTTTCCCTCCTTTCTCGCTTCCCCTTTCCTTCCTTCTTTCCTTCCTTTTGTTTCTTCTTTCCCTCCTTTCTTGCTTCCCCTTTCCTTCCTTCTTTCCTTCCTTTTGTTTCTTCTTTCCCTTCTTTCTTGCTTTCCCTTTCCTTCCTTCTTTCCCTTCCTTTTCCTTCCTTCCTTTCCTTTCCTTTCCTTTCTCTTCTTTCTTGCTTTCCTCTTCCTTCCTTCCTTCCTTCCTTTCCTTCATTCGCTTCCTTCTTTCCTGCTTTCCTTTTCCTTCCTTCCTTTCCTTTCCTCTTTTTTCTTGCTTTCCTTTTCCTTCCTTCCTTTTGTTTCTTCTTTCCCTTCTTTCTTGCTTCCCCTTTCCTTCCTTCTTTCCCGTCTTTCCTTTTCCTTCTTCCCTTTCCTTTCCTTTCCTTTCCTCTTTTTTCTTGCTTTCCTTTTCCTTCCTTCCTTTTGTTTCTTCTTTCCCTTCTTTCTTGCTTTCCCTTTCCTTCCTTCCTTCTTTCCCTTCCTTTTCCTTCCTTCCTTTCCTTTCTCTTCTTTCTTGCTTTCCTTTTCCTTCCTTCCTTCCTTCCTTCCTTCCTTCCTTCTTTCCCTCCCTCCCGCCATTCCTTCCCCATTTCTTTTCCTTTCCTTCTCTATCTCCTTTCCTTTTTCTCCTTTCCTCCCCCCTCCCTCCTTTCCTTCCTTCCTTCCTTTACTCCTTCCTTTTCTCTCTCTTGTGCAGAAGGTGTCCCTCTCCCTGGAGAAAGAGCCCCAGGAGGTGAGAAGCAGAGGGCAGCCAGGCACTCCGGACCGGGAAGAAGGGCCCAAAGGGGACGGGGACCCCAAAGCGGGACCCCCTTGGCAGCAGGACGAGCAGGAGGAAAGCATGGACGCCCGGCTGGACCTGGTGGAGATGCTGCAGAGGATGCAGGAGATCGAGGTAAATCGAGGCTCCCCTGTGGCCCCCAAAGCACCATCACCCTCCTCCTCCTCCTTCATTGCGCTGCCTCCAACGCAATGCCTTCAAGAGCCACCGGAGGGGGCCCTCTGACTGCTTTAAAGGAGGCTTTAAAGGCCATCCTTAATTCTTGGACCTTAACTGTATGTTAATGTGTGTCCTTGGCAAACATACACACACACACCATATATATATATATATATATAGAGAGAGAGAGAGAGAGAGAGAGAGAGAGTAATATAATAATGCAATAATAACGTAATGTAATAGTAATACAATAATCGTAATGCAACATAGTAATAGTATTACAATAACACAATAATAGTAAAGTAAAGTAATGTAATGATAATAATAATGTAATATAATAATAATAGAATAGTTATGTAATATAGTAATACAGTAATAGTAATATAATGATGCAAGAGAAATGCAATAATAATGCAATAATAGTAATGTAATATAGTAATTGTGTTACAATAACACCATAATAGTAAATAATAATGCAATATAATGATAACACAATAGTTATGTAATATAGTAATACAGTAATAATAATATAATGATACAAGAGAAATGTAATAAAGCAATAATTAGTAATGTAATATAGTAATAGTATTACAATAACATCATAATAGTAGAGGATATAATAATAGTAAAGTAATACAATAATGATACAGTAGTTATATAATGTAGTAATACAGCAATAGTAATATAATGATACAACAAAAATGCAATAATAATGCAATAATAGTAAAGTAATATTGTAATAATATTACAGTAACAAAGTAGTAAAGTAATATAACGATAATAGTAAAGTAATACAATAGTTATATAATGTAGTAATACAGCAATAGTAATATAATGATACAACAAAAATGCAATAATAATGCAATAATAGTAAAGTAATATAGTGATAATAGTAATGTAATACAATAATGATACAATAGTTATATATACAGTAATACAATGATACAAGTAGTAATAATTCAATAATAGTAATGTAATATAATAATAATACAATAATAGTAATGTAATATAGAAATAGTAATAATAATAATAATAATAAGAAGAAGAAGAAGACAATGGTAGTAGTGTAATAATAATAATAATAATAATAATAATAATAATCATAATAATATACAACATCTGTAGGTAGTAGTGATCTCAGACCTTGGAGGACTTCCTTAACACCGACTAAAATGCCCCATAGCGCTGATGTCCAACCAAACTACAAATTCCAGGGCTCCATAGCGTGTGATGGAAGAAGCATCTGGGAAGGGTCTTAAAAAGAGGTGTCTTAAATGTATTTTTAACTTGTATCCATATATAAATTGTGTTTTGTTTTTAATTTTTGCATTTGCCGTGTATTTTAAAAAACGTATTGGGTTGTATAATGTAATTGTAAGCTAATATGAGCCCCCCATTTGGGGGTAGGGGGAGAAAGGCAGGAGGGAAATTAATTAATGAACTAATAATATATGAATGTATGCAGCGCTCCCAGGAGTCCGTGCGGCGGCGCTACCATCAGCTGGTCTATTCGGATGTTGAATTTTGTGCCCAGGAGAAGAAGAATTGGGGTGAGTCTCTCTTCCCTTAGAATCCTATAATAATAGTAATAATAATAGTAATTTTTATTTGCCACCACCTCGAGCTGAAATGAGAGGCGGGTAATGAATAAGAAAAAATATTATTATTATTAATTTATATTATTATATAAATTATATTGTTATTAAAGTACTATTGGTATTATTAAATTATTATTACACTATTATTACAACATTAATATGATTGCACTATTACATCATTATTAGTAAATTAGTAAATTATTATTCTTACATTACTGTTATTATTACATTGTTAATAATAATGATTATTAATTCATTATTGGCATTGGCATTATTATTACCACATTATTACTATTATTACATTATTGGTATTATTGTCATTATTAAATTATTATTATTTCTACATTATTATTAACCTTATTACTTTGTTATGTCATTAGTGTTATTACAATATTCTTACATTAATATTACTACATGAGTATTGAAAAAACACTACTACTAGTAGTAAATTATAAAATTATTACATTTGTTTATAATATTATTACTATTACATTATTGGTATTATAATTATCATTACTACTACATTATTGGTATTATTACCATTATTAATTATTATTACATTATTATTATTATATATTTTATTATTATTATTGGTATTGCTATTGGTATTAGTATTACTACAATTGTTAAGGTATTATTATTATTACATTATTGGAATTGTCATCATTGCATTATTATTAATATTATATTATTCTTACATTGGGTTCTTGTAGGTTTTTTCGGGCTATATGGCCAGGGTCTAGAGGCATTCTCTCCTGACGTTTCGCCTGCATCTATGGCAAGCATCCTCACTACCTCTGAGAATGCTTGCCATAGATGCAGGCGAAATGTCAGGGAGAGAATGCCTCTAGACCATGGCTATATAGCCAACAGACCTCACTACCTCTGAGGATGCTTGCCGTAGATGCAGGCGAAACGTCAGGAGAGAATGCCTCTAGACCATGGCCATATAGCCCGAAAAAACCTACAACAACCCAGTGATTCCAGCCATGAAAGCCTTCGACAATACATATTCTTACATTATTGGTATTATTACCATTATTAAATTACTATTACATTATTATTTATTATGTTATTATTAATAATAATATTGGTATTTTCATTATTAAATTATTATTATTATTACATTATTGGTATTATTACCATTATTACGTTATTATTATTATTATTATTGATATTGATATTGATATTGGTATTATCATTATTTCATTATTATTATTTCATTATTATTCTTACATTATTGTCATTATTAAATTACTATCACTACATTATTATTCTTACATTATTCTTGTCACTGCATTGTTACATCATTATTCTGATAACACTACTCGTAGTAGTAAATTATAACATTATTATTCTTATGTTACTTCATATTATTATTATTATTATTATTATTTGGCTTTTCAGAGGGCCCGCCTCCTCCCATTCAGGTTACTCAGGCCTTGAGCTGCAAGGAGGAGCCGCAAGTGGACATTGTCCTGGAGAGGCCTTCGGACACCAAGTGAGTGTGCACCTTGGACATCATTCCACAGGTGTATATACACATGCAGCCTTTTGGGGGGGAAGCTGGGTTCTCACCTGTGTTCTGCTCTATCCCCGCAGCGCTGTGGAAGAGGAGGAGGAGGAAGAGGAGGAAGCTGTGCGCCCTTGCACGGGGGAGAATGGGCCTCCCATGGGGCCCAATGGCGCCTTCCTCTCGGTCCCCCAAAACGTGCTGCAAAGCATTGCCGACTATGGGGCCCGCTACCGGCGCCACCTGCGGCTCATGGCCCACGAAGCTGTGGGGCGTTTTGACCCCTGGCGCATCGCAGAGAGGTAATCATCTTCATCCTACATGTAATATTCATTTGTGGGATGAACATAACTCAATAACCACTAAACGAATTGACACCAAATTTGGACACAATACACTGATCAGGCCAACAAGTGACCACCACTCATAAAAACACTGAAAAACACAGTGGAAGGGACTTAAAAAGCCAATTTTTTTTAAAAAAACTACATTACAACGCATGCGCAAAACCACACACACACACATATCTATATAAATAAAAATGTAATGTTCGTTTGTGCTACCATCAGAACTCAAAAACCACTGGGGGAATTGACACCAAATTTGGACAGAAGACACCTAACAGTCCAATTTATGTCCTCCGCACACACAAAAATATGATTTTGTCATTTGGAAGTTGTACTTGCTGGGATGTATAGTTCACCCATAAGCAAAGAGCATTCTGAACCCCACCAACAATGGAATTGAACCAAACTTGGCACACAGTTCTCCCATGACCAAGAGAAAATACTGGAAGGGTTTGTTGGGCAGTGTCCTTTGGTTTTGGAGTTGTAGTTCACCTACATCCAGAGATCACTGTGGACTCAAACAATGATGGATCTGGACCAAACTCTACACGAATACTCCATATGCTCAAATGTGAACACTGATGGAATTTGGGGAAAATAGAATCTTGACATTCAGGAGTTGTAGTTGCTGGGATTTATAGTTCACCTATAATCACAAAGCATTCTGAACCCCACCAACGATAGAATTGGGCCAAAGCTCCCACACAGAACCCCCATGTGGGCCACAGCAATGCGTGGCAGGGGACGGCTAGTGTATGTGTGTGTGTGTGTGTGTGTATATATATATATATGCAATATTTATTTGTGGGATTAACATAACTCAATAACCAGTGAACGGATTGACACCAAATTTGGACACAACAAGTGACCATCATTCATAAAAACACTGAAAAATACAGTGGAAGGGATTTAAAAAGCCAAAAAAAATACATTACAACACATGCGCAAAACCACACACACATATATATATATGCAAACACACATATACACACACAAGGTGGACTGGATGGTCTCTGGGGTTCCCCTCCCAAGCCCCTGATGACCCCTTTTTTTCCCTTGCTTGGGCCCCTTGCAGCTTGGCGGAGGAGCTGACGGAATCGGCGCTGGAGGAAGTGGCGGCGGAGCTGCAGGGCCTTTGCGAGGACTGCGCCGAAGCCCTCTTCGTCTCCGAGTTCCTGCAGCCACCAGTGGCAAACCAATGAGGGTACCAAGACCCCCCCCCCTCCCATCATCACAATTGCAATAAAAGGTTTTGTACTTTTTTTACAAGTCGGTCAGTGTGGTCTCTGGGCTCCAGGTCAACGAGGAAGGAGGAACGAACTGGGGGATCTGTTTTGAAGGAGGGGCTGGATGCGCATTAGCATCGATCTAGATAAATAAAAATGAAATGTTTGTGGGATTAACAGAACTCAAAAACCACTGGGCAAATTGACACCAAATTTGGACACTACATTACACCCCTAACAGGCCAATGAGTAACCCCCCCCCAAAAAAAACAGCAGTAAGGATTTAAAAACCCAAAAAAGCTAAATGACGAAAAGCTAAATGACAATACAGAAAAAGAAAGAAAGGAGGGAAGGAAGGAAGAAAAGAAAGGAAGAAGGAAGGAAAGAAGGAAGGAAGGAAGGAAAGGTAGAGAAGGAAGGAAGGAGAGAAAAAAAAAAAGGAAGAAGGAAGGAGAGAAAGAAGGAGAGAAGGGAGAGAAGGAAAAGGAAAGAAGGAGAAAAGGAAGGAAGGAAGAAGAGAGAGAAGGAAGAAGAGAGAGAAGGAAGGAAGAAAAAGGGAAGGAAAGGAGAGAAGGAAGGAAGAGGAAGAAAAGAAGGAAGGAAAGAGGGAGGGAAGGAGGAGGGAAAGAAGGAAGAAGGGGAGGAAAAGGAAAGAGAAGGAAGGAGAGAAAAGGAAAAAGGGGAAGGAAAGAGAGAAGGAAAGAAAAAGGAAGGAAAGAGGGAGAAAGGAGGGAAAGAAAGAAAAGGGAGGGAAGAAGGAAAGAGAAGGAAGGAGAGAAAGAGGCAGAAAAGGGAAAGGAAGGAGGGAAAGAAGGAAGGAAGAGGAGCGAAGGAGGAAAGAAGAAAGAGGGAAGAAGGAAAAGAAGGAAGGAAGGAAAAAGGGAGGGAAAAGAAAAAGAGGAAGGAAGGAAAGAGGAGAAGGAAGGAAGAGAAAAAAGGAAAGAAGGAAGAAAGGGAGGGAAGAGAAGAGGGAGGAAGAAGAAAGAGAAGGAAGGAAGGTAGAGAAGGAAGGAAGGAGAGAAGGAGAAAGAAAAGGGAAGGAAGGAAAGGGAGAGAAGAAGGAAGGAGAGAAAGAGAAAGAAGGGAAAGAAGAAAGAAGGGAGGAAAGAAGGAGAGGAAGAATGGAAGCAAAAGCAAAGGAAGGAAAGCGGTAGAGAAGGAAAAGAGAAGAGGGGGGAAAAGAAAAGGGGAAGGAAGGAAAGAGGTAGAAAAGGAAGAAAGGGAAGGAAAGGAAAGAGGAGAAAAGAAGGAGGAAAGACGAGAGAAAGAGGGAGGGAAAGTTGGCCATAGCAATGTGTGGCGGGTATAGCTAGTATTGGGTTGTTGTAGGTTTTTCTGGGCTATATGGCCATGTTCTAGAGGCATTTTCTCCTGACGTTTCGCCTGCATCTATGGCAAGCATCCTCAGAGGCTGTGAGGTCTGTTGGAAGTAGGAAAATGGGTTTATATATCTGTGGAATGTTACATACAATATACCAGCACTATTACATGTCAAGGGAAGGGAAAGGGAAAGGGAAGAAAGGGGGTGGAACTGGATGGCCTTTAGAGGTTCCCTTCCAACTGTATAATATTAATATTAATAATAGATAATAAGCGTAACTCCATCCTCCTGCTTGGCGGGTTGGACTAAATGACCTTTTGGGGTGCCTTCCAATTATATAACAATAACAATAACAATATAATAATAGTAATAATAACAATAATAATATTCCTCCCTTCTCTCCCTCCGCTTCTTTTGTCTTCCCTTCCTTCCTTTCTTCATCTCTCCCATTCCCTCCCTCCTTCCTTCCTTCCTTCCTTCCTTCCTTCCTTCCTTCCTTCCTTCCTTTTTTCTTTCTTTTCCTTTCTTTCTTTTCTTTCTTTACTTCATTTACTTCCTTCCTTCTTCTTTCCCCTCCCACCCTTTTCTTTTCCTTCCTTCCATCCTTTCCTCTCTTCCTCTCTCCCCCTCCCTTTTCTCTAACTTTCTTCTTTTCCTTCCTCCCTCCTTTTGTCTTTCCTTTCTTCCTTTCCTTCCTTCCCCTCTTCCTATTCTTTCTCTCTCCCCTTGCCTTTCTTTCCTTCTTTCCTTCCTTCCCTTTTTCTTTCTTCCCTCCCTTTGATCTCTTCTGTCCTTCCTCCCTTTCCTTTCTTCCTCTCTCCCTCCCCTCTCTTTTCTTTCCTTCCTCCTCCTTCCCTTCCTCCTTCCTTCCTCTTTCCTTCCTTCCTTCTCCCCTTTTCTTTCTTCCTTCCCTCCCCTTTCTCTCTTCCTCCTTTCTCCCCTCTCCCTCTTTTTCCTTCCTTCTCCTTCCCTTCCATCCATCCATCCCTCCTTTCTTTTCTTTTTCCTTCCCTTTCCTCCTCCTTCTCTCTCTCTCCTCCTTTTTCTTTGTTTCCTCTCTTCCTTTTTCTTTCCTTTCTTCCTTTCCTCTCTTTCTTCTCCCTCCCCTCCCTCTCTGCTTTCTTTCCTTCCCTCCCTCCCTCCCTCTCTTTCCTTTTTCCTTCCTTCCCTGTCATCCCTCTCTGTTCCCCCCCCTCCATCTTCTCTTCCTTTCCTTCCTTCTATTCCTTTCTTTTTCTTCCTTCCTTCCTTTTTCTTTCCTTTCTTTCTTTCTTTCTTTCTTTCTTTCTTTCTTTCCTTCCTCCTATCCCTTTCTTTTTCGTCCTTCCTTTCCCTTTCTTTCCTTCCTCCCTTTTTCTTTCCTTTCTTTCTTCCCTTCCTTTCCCTTCCTTTCCCTTTCTTTTCTTCCTCTCTTTTTCTTTCCCTTCTTTCTTTTCTTCCTTCTATCCCTTTCTTTTTCTTTCTTCCCTTTCCCTTTGCTTCCTTCCTCTCTTTTTCTTTCCCTTCTTTCTTTCCTTCCTTCTATCCCTTTCTTTTTCTTTCTTTCCTTCCTTTTTCTGACCCTTCTTTCTTTCCTTCCTTCTATCCCCTTCCTTCTATTCCTTTCTTTTCCCTTTCTTTCCTTCCTCCCTTTTTCTTTCCCTTCTTTCTTTTTCTTCCTTCCTTTCCCTTTCTTTCCTTCCTCCCTTTTTCTTTCCTTTCTTTCCTTCCTTCTATCCCTTTCTTTTTCTTTCTTTCTTCCCTTCCTTTCCTCCCTTCTTTCCTCCCTCCCTTTTTCTTCCTTTCTTTCTTTCCTCTTGCTTCCCTCCCTTCCCTCCCTTCTTTCCCTCCCTCCTTTCCTTCCTTCTCGCAGCCACCTTTTTTATTTTTGGATGCGGTGCCTTTAAATAAAAGCAAGGGAGGGGGAAGCTGAGAGCAGAGCCTCAATCAAAGGAAGGAAGGAAGGGAAGGAGGGAAGGAGAGAAGGAGCCAGGTTTGCAGGAGGAAGGAAGGAAAGAAAGAAGGAAGGAAGGATGTCTAGTGACGACACACCAAGAAGGAGGAGAGCCCCCTGCCCAGGTGAGAGAGAGAGAGAGAGAGAGAGACCCTCCCAAAAGGGTGAATGTGGGAGGGAAGGAAGGAAAGAAGGAAGGAAGGGGAAGAAGGTGAGAGGGAGGGAGGTGTGGGTCAAAGCACACACCCCCCCCAATCCATTGATTGCCCCAATTAAAGCCTCTTTTGGGAGGCCTGGGTCTGTTTCCCCCCTTCCTTTCCCTCTTTTTCTGTTATCCTTCCTCCCTCTTTCATCTCCTTTCTTCCCTCCCTCTTTTCCTTCCCTCCCTCTCTTTCTTTCATCATTCCCTTCCTTTTTTTCCTCCCTCCTTTCCTTCCTTTATCATTTTTCTTTCTCTCCTTCCTCTTCCTTCCCTCTCTCCCTTTTTTGCCTTCCTTCCTTCCTTCCTATCTCCCTTCCTTCTTTCATTTCATTATTTCTTTTCTTTCTTTTTCCTTCCTTTCTTCCCCTTCACTCTCCCTTCCTTCCCTCCTTTTCTCCTTCCTTCCTTCTTTTATCTTGCTCTCTTTCTTTCTTTCTTTCTTTCTTTCTTTCTTTCTTTCCCTCTCTCCCTTTTTGTACTTTTTCCTTTTTTTCTCTTTCTGATAATAATAATAATAATAATAATTCCCTCCTTTTTTATCCTTTTCTTTGTTCCCTCCTTCCCTCTCTCCTTTCCTTCCTTCTTCATTTCTTCTTTTCCTTTCTTCCTTCCCTCCTTTCTTCTCTCCATTATTTCCTTTATATTCTTTATTTGCTTCCTTCCTTCTCTATTTCTCTCCTCCCTCCCTTCCTTCTGTCTTTCACTCTTTTCTTTTATCTCTCTCCCTTTCTTTTTTCTTTCTTTCTTCCTCCTTCCCTCTCTCTCTCCCGTCCTTCCTGTTTTCATTTTTTCTTTCTTTCCTTCCTTCCTTTACTGCATCTCTCTCTTTTTTTCATTCTTTTCTTTCCTTCCTTCCTGTCTCTGTCCCTTCCTTCCTTCCTCTTTCCTTCCTTCCTTCCTTCCTTCCTTCCTTCCTTCCTTCCTTCCTTCCTTCCTTCCTTCTTTCCTTGTCTCCCTCCCCTCCTTCCTTCCCTTTCCCTCTTCATTCCTTCCTTTTTTCATTCTTTCCTTCCCTCCCTCCCTATCTACCTTCCTTCCTTCTTTCATTATTTCTTTTCTTTCTTTCCCTTCCTTCCTTCTCCCCTCTCTCTCCCTTCCTTCCCTCCTTTTCCCATTTTTTCTTTCCTTCCTTCTTTCCCTTTCTTTCATTCTTTTCTTTCCTTCCTTCCTTCTTTCCTTCCAATCCCTTCTTGCCCTCCTTTTTCTTCTCACAAAACAGGAAAAACTACATTTTTTTGGCACTTGGCTTTGGGAGGGCCGGGCCGGCATGTGTGGGCAGTGCACATGCGTGTCAGCATGACATGACATGACATGACATGACATGATGGGAGAGGCCTCAGTTTGCGCGTGTGCCAAGATGCTCTGCCTGCCTCCATCCTCTTGGCCAAGGCCGTTCCCATGGCAACGCTGGACCAGTCTGTCTCCTGGAGTCTCTTTTGCAGATAGAAAAAGCGGGGTATAAATAAATAAATAAACAAACAACAACAACAATAATTAGGCCTGTTTGGATGCCTGCCAACATGAGACATGCTTTCCCAACTTCCAAGAGGCCTCCTTGGGGGCTTTGTAGCCAAAGCCGGATGGATGGCCATCTGTTGGGAGGGATTTGCTGGTGCTCTTCCTCCATGAAGGCAGGAAGAAAGGGGTTGGGCTGGATGGCCTTTGGGGGTCCCTTCCAGTTCTAGGGTTCTGTGACCAGCCCCTTCCCACTCCCTCTTTTGGATTCAGGTGGCGCCCCGAATAGGGGGTAATGGGCCTTGTAGTCCCTTTGGGCCCCTTTGCCCTGGGTGCCTTAGGAAGTTCAAGGGAAGAAGGAGGGAAGAAATGGAAAGAAGGTAATAAAGAAAAGTAAGGGAAGAGAAGAGATAAAAGGGATGGAAGAGGGAAGGAAGGAAGGAAGGAAGGAAGGAAGGAAGGAAGGAAGGAAGGAAGGGGAAGGAAGCGAGGGAGGGTTAAGGCACAGATAAAAGGAATGAAGGGAAGAGAAGTGATAAAAGGAAGAGGGAGGAAGAAGGAAGGAAAGATGGGAGAAGGGAAGGATGGAGGGATGAATAAAAGGGAATGAAGGAAGGAAGAAGAAGAGAATAAAAGGGAGAGCAAGGAATAAGGAAAGAAGGAATAAGAAGAGGAGCAAGAGGAGGAAAAGGAAGAAAGAGAGAAGGAAGAGGAGGAGGAAGTGGAACAATGGAGGAGGAAGAAGGGAAGAGAAGGAAAGAAGAAGGGAAGTATGAAGGGATGGATAAAAGCAAAGAAGGAAGAAGAAATCAAAGGGAGGGAAAGAAAAAGAAGAAGAAAGAAGAAGGGATGGATAAAAGGAAGGAAGAACAGAAGAGATAGAAGGGAGGGAGGGAAGGAAGAAGGGAAGAGAAGGAAGGATGAAGGGACGGTTAAGAGGAAAGAAGGGAAGAGAAGAGATAAAAGGGAGGAATGAAGGAAGGAAGAAGGAATTGATAGAAGGAAAGAAGGGAGAACAGAGGGAAGGGAAGGGGGAGGGAGAGAAGAGATAAAAGGAAGGAGGAAAGAGGGAAAGGAGGAAGGGAAAAGAATTGAAGGGAGGAAAAGTGAAGAGAAAAGAGTAGAAGAGAAGGATGAAGGAAAAAGGGAAGGGAGGGAAGAAGGGAGGGAAGGAGGAAGGAAAAAGAGAAGGACAGAAGAGGAGAAGGATGGAAGGAAGGAAAGGAAGGATGAAAGGAGAATAAAGGGAAGGAAGGATGAAGGAAAGAATGGAAGAAGGAAGAGAAGGAAAGAAGGAATAAAGAGAGGGAAAGAAGAAGGGAATGATAGGAAGGAAGAATGAAGGTAAGGGAAGGATTAAGGAAAGAATGGAAGAAGGAAGAAAAGGAAGGAAGGAATAAAAAGAGGGGAGGAAGAAGGGAATGATAAGAAAAGGGAAGGATGAAACAAAGGGAAGGAAAGAATGGAAGAAGGAAGAGAAGGGAGAAGGAAGGAATAAAGAGAGGGGAGGAAAGAGGGAATGATAGAAAGGAAAAAAGAAGGAAGGAAGGAAGAAACAAAGGGAAGGAAAGAATGGAAGAAGGAAGAGAAGGGAGAAGGAAGGAATAAAGAGAGGGGAGGAAAGAGGGAATGATAGAAAGGAAAAAAGAAGGAAGGAAGGAAGGGAAGGAGGAAGGAAAGAATGAAGGAAGGAAGAAGAAGGGAATGACAGAAAGGAAAAGGGAAGGAAGGAAGGAAGGAAGGATGACCTCCAGAAGAGCCTTCAGGTCAATGGGAGAGCCATGGGGTGTGGGGGTCAGGGGGGCGCCTGCATGTGCTTGTGCGCAAAGGTGTGCTTCCTCCTCTTCTTCCTTCTCTTTCTCTTCCTCCCTCCCTTCCTCAGCAGCCTTTCAGGTTATGTAAAAACCTCCTGCCCAAAAGAGCGTGGAATTCATGGCATTGACGTAAGACGAAGCGGGGTGCATGTGTGTGTGTGCGTGTGCAAAGAGGATTGTGTCGCTTTGAGTGCCAAAGCCATTTTTCCTCCCAGGCGAAGAAGATGTTTACATTCCCAGAGACACTTTGCGTGCATCTCTCTCGGGGTGGGAGCCAAAAGGGGCCCACGGCAGGCAGGCAGCGCACTGGCTTCTGACAGGGCACGGCAGGGAGGGTCTAGGTGGCCTCTTGGGCCCAAAAAATGCCCTTTTGTTAATCTCTGAAGGGTTTTGTGCAGGGTGGACATCTGTCTGGAGGGCTTGGGTGGCGCTTTTCCAGCCTCACATGAATAAGGGTGGAATGGATGGCCTCTTGCGGTCCCTTCCAATTCAATAAGGATAATAATGATAATAATAATATGGATAATAATATAATAGTAATTCTTGATGATGATGATGGGGTTGGACTGATATATCTAATGTGTGTGTAATAGGTTTGGCTGGATGGCCATCTGTCGGGAGGGATCAGATGGTGCCCTGCTTAACAGGATGGGGTGGGACTAGATGGCCTCTGGGGGACCCTACCAGCTCTAGGATTCTGTGATATAGCACACACATACACATATATACTGTGTGTGTGTGTGTGTGTGTGTTTGGTTGGATGGCCATCTGTCAGGAGAGATCAGATGGTGCCCTGCATAATAGAATGGTGTTGGACTGGATGTTCCTTGGGGGTCCTTTCTAGCCCTAGGATTCTGTGATATATCTAGGGCATATATGGGCATGTGTGTGTATTGTGTGTGCATATGTGTGTTGGGCTGGATGGCCATCTGTCGGGAGGGATCAGATGGTGCCCTGCTTAATAGCATGGGGTTGGACTGGATGGCCCTTGGGGATCCCTTCCATCTCTAGGATTCTGTGATATAGCACACACATACACATATATACAATGTGTGTGTGTGTGTGTTTGGCTGGATGGCCATCCGTCGGGAGGGATTGGATGGTGCCCTGTTTTACAAGGGTCCCTTTCAACTTTAGGATTCTGTGATGTATCTAGTGTGTATGTATGTATGTTTATGTATGTGTGTGTATATATATATGTGTGTGTGTGTGTGTGTGTGTGTGTATGTGTCAGGAGCATCTTGAGAAACTGCAAGTCGCTTCTGGTGTGAGAGAATTGGCCATCTGCAAGGACGTTGCCCAAGAGACACCCAGATGTTTAATGTTTTACAATATATATATAGTGTGTGTAGGTGTGTGTGTGTGTGTTTGGCTGGATGGCCATCTGTCAGGAGAGATCGGATGGTGCCCTGCTTGGGGGTCCCTATCCATCCCTAGGAGTCTTTGTAAGCAAAGCAATGGAGAGTCCCATGTTTCCTTACATTCTGCCCCTCCAAAGGGGACCTTTGCCCTCCAAAATGCCCCCCTGGATGAAGAGGAAGATGAGGAGGAGGATGGCACTGCGGCGCACCAGGCCTCATTGGCATTCTTCTCATCAACATGCGCCGCCGGCGGTCCCGTCAAGGCTATTTTTAGCTATTTTAGTGAGTGTGTGTTTTATTTTTTGTGGGCCAATGGAGCCACCGATGTCCTTCTGGTGGAACCTCCTTCTTTTGGAGGCTTTGAAACATGAGGCTGGATGACCATCTGTTGGGAGGGATCAGGGGGTGCCCTGCATAACAGACTGGCCCTTGGGGTCACTTCTAGCTGTAGGATTCTGTGATATATCTAGCGTATATAGATAGATTGATCGATAGATGGATGGATAGACAGTGTGTATGTGTGTGTGTTTGGCTGGATGACCATCTGTTGAGAGGGATCGGGTGGTGCCCTGCWTAACAGACTGGCCCTTGGGGTCACTTCTAGCTGTAGGATTCTGTGATATATCTAGCGTATATAGAAAGATCGATAGATCGATGGATAGACAATGTGTATGTGTGTGTGTGTTTGGCTGGATGACCATCTMTTGAGAGGGATCAGATGGTGCCCTGCTTAACAGGATGGGGTGGGACTAGATGGCCTCTGGGGGACCCTACCAGCTCTAGGATTCTGTGATATATCTAGCGTATATATGTGTGTGTGTACATATATATATATATAGCATGTGTGTGTATGTATCTGTATGTATGGCCATCTGTTGGGAGGGATCAGATTATGTCCTGCTTAACAGAATGGGGTTGAACTGGGTGGTCTTTGGGGGTTCCTTCTAACTCTAGGATTCTGTGATATATCTTGCATTTATAGATTGATAGATAGATTAATAGATAGTGTGTGTGTGTGTGTGTGTTTGGCTGGATGGCCATCTGTTGGGAGGGATCAGATGGTGCCCTGCTTAACAGAATGGGGTTGTGTGTGTGTGTGTGTGTGTGTGTGTATATATATTTAGTGTGTGTGTGTATATATAGAGAGAAGGAGAGAAATGTGTGTTTGTATATGTCTCTGTGGTTGGACTAGATGGCCCTTAGGGTTCCCTTCCAACTCTGTAATAATAATAATAATAATAATAATAATAATAATAATAATATCATAGTAATTCTATCCTTTATTATGGAAGGTGGTTGGACTAGGTGGCCCTTGGGGTTCCCTTCCAACTCTATAATAATAATAATAATAATAATAATAATAATAATAATAATAATAATAATAATAATAATAATGGGTAATAAAACCACAGTAATCTTCCTTTTAATTTATCTCTCCTTTATCAATCCCTTCTTTCCATCTCTTTTTCCCCCCTCTTTCTCTTGGCCTCTCCTCCGTTTGGCTTAATTAAATCCAGAGCCTGCCTTTTAAACTCAACGAGCCATTTGCGGCCGGTCTAATTCCTGCTAATTAATAGGAGGGCTTTTCATTTGCTTTGGCTGCCGAATCGGGAAAGAGAAAGCCTTTGGGCAGAAGGAGGCTCCTCCGGGAATGGGGCCAAACACAGAGCTTTCAATGGGGAGGAGGAGGAGGACGATGAAGACGATGATGATTGTGATTGTGACGTTGATTAAGACGATGCGAATGATAATGATGATTTAAGGGTCTGTCGGCTGAGCTTCAATGGAGGGATGATGATGAAGATGACGTTGCTGCTGCTGCTGAAGACGATGGTGATGATGATAAAGGTGACAATGATGAGGATGATGAAGATGATGTCGACTCAAGCGTGTTGGCTAAACACTGAGCTTGAATGGGGGATGATGGAGGATTATGATGATGGGGATGATGAAGACAATTATAATGGTGATGAAGATGATGATGACAATGAAGATGATGGTGATGATGAAGATGAAGATACTGACGACAACACAAGGGGTCTGCGAACGCTGAGCTTGAATGGGGGACTGATGATGATGGAGATGATGAAGATGAAGATACTGATGACGACTCAAAGGGTCTCTGAACACTGAGCTTGAATGGGGGACTGATGATGATGGTGATGATGATGATGGTGATGATGATGATGTTGAGGATGATGAAGACAATGATAATGGTGATGAAGATGATGATGACAATGAAAATGATGGCAATGGTGAAGATGAAGATACTGACGACAACACAAGGGGTCTATGAACACTGAGCTTGAATGGGGGACTGATGATGATGGAGATGATGATGACTCAAGAGGTCTGTTGGTTGAACACTGATCTTCTGTGGGGGATGATGACGTTGATGATGTTGAAGATGATGATGATGATAGTGAAGATTATGGCGATGGTGAAGATGAAGATATTGATGACAACTCAAGGGGTCTGTGAACACTGAGCTTGAATGGGAGACTGATGATGATGGAGATGATGATGGTGATGACGATGACTCAGCAGGTCTGTTGGTTGAACACTGAGCTTCAATGGGGGATAAAGATAATGATGATGACAGTGAAGATGATGGCGATGGTGAAGATGAAGATATTGACGACAACTCAAGTGGTCTGTGAACACTTAGCTTGAATGGGGGGACTGATGATGGAGATGATTATGGTGATGATGACTCAAGAGGTCTGTTGGTTGAACACTAAGCTTCAATGGGGGATGATGATGATGATGATGATGATGATGATGACAATGAAGATGATGGCAATTGTGAAGATGAAGATACTGACGACAACACAACTGAGCTTGAATGGGGGACTGATGATGATGGAGATGATGGTGATGGTGATGGTGATGATGACTCAAGAGGTCTGTTGGTTGAACACTGAGCTTCAATGGGGCATGATGAAGATGAAGATGATGATGTTGAAGATGTTGATGACAATGAAGATGACGGCGATGATGAAGATGAAGATACTGACAACAACACAAGGGGTCTGTGAACACTGAGCTGGAATGGGGGACTGATGATGGTGGTGACGATGACTCAAGAGGTCTGTTGGTTGAACACTGAACTTCAATGGGGCATGATGATGATGTTGAGGATGATGATGATGATGTTGAAGATGTTGATGACAATGAAGATGATGGCGATGATGAAGATGAAGATACTGACGACAACACAAGGGGTCTGTGAACACTGAGCTTGAATGGGGGACTGATGATGATGGAGATGATGATGATGATGGTGATGATGATGACTCAAGAGGTCTGTTGGTTGAACACTGAGCTTCAATAGGGGATGATGATGATGATGTAGAAGAAGTTGATGATGATGACAATGAAGGCAATGGTGATGGTGAAGATGAAGATATTGACGATGACTCAAGGGGTCTATGGACACTGAGCTTGAATGGGGGACTGATGATGGTGGAGATGATGATGATGATGACTTAAGGGGTCTGTTGGCCGAACACTGAGCTTCAGTGGCGGGCTGATGAAGATGATATTGATGATGATTGAAGGGATCTGTTGGGTGAACACTGCGGTTCAGTGGGAACTGGTGAAGGTGATGATGATGATCAAGAGGATGAAGGTGATGATAAAGATGATGTTGAAGATGAAGATGATGACAGTGATGATCCAAGGGGTCTGTTGCTTCTATGGGGAGGGGGGTGATGAAGAAGAAGAAGATGATAATGATGATGATAGTGATGACTTCAGAGGTCTGTTGGCTGAACACTGAGCTTCAATGGGGGTTGATGATGACAATGATGAAGATGATGAAGATGATGCTGGTGATGACTTAAGGGGCCTGTTGGCTGAATATTGAGCTTCAATGGGGGTTGATGATGATGATGATGAAGACGATGCTGGTGATGACTTAAGGGGTCTGTTAGCTGAATGCTGAGGTTCAATGGGGGTTGATGATAATGATGATGACTCAAGGGGTCTGTTGGGTGAACACTGAGGTTCAATGGGGGATGATGATTATGATGACGACGATGACTCAAGGGGTCTGTTGGGTGAACACTGACTTTCAATGGGATTTGATGATGACGATGATGAAGTTGATGATGATGATGGTAATGACTTAAGGGGTCTGTTGGCAGTGGGGGTTGATGATGATGATGATGATGACTCAAGGGGTCTGTTGGGTGAACACTGAGTTTCAGTGGGGGTTGATGATGATGAAGAAGAAGATAACAATGATGATAAAGACAATGATGATGATGATGAAGATGAGGACTCAAGGCTCTCTGGGCTGCACACTGAGCTTGGATGGGGGGCTGATGATGAGGATGATGAAGATGAAGTTGATGACAGCCCAAGGGGTCTGTTGGGTGAAATGCTGAGCTTCAGTGCGGGGCTGATGATGATGACGACGACGATGATGATGATGATAAAGTTCCCCTCTCAACCCCATTTTTCCTTCTCTCTCCCTATTTTGCAGGATCGGGGCTTTCCCCATGTGGTGCCCCCCACTGGCGCCCCAGTGACTCAATGGAGATGAGCTCCGAGGGTGAGGAGGAGGAAGAGGAAGAGTTCTTTGACGCCCGAGGTCAGCATCACATCCCTGTGCCCCCCACCCTTGGGGTTGAGAACTCCACCACCACCACACGCCCCCTTGGCCAGCTGGCCTGCCTGTCAGTCTCTTTAATGGAGCTACTGAGCAGAATACTAGAATCATAGAAAGGGCCGACCAGTCCAACCCTTAGATGGAGGGATGGATAGATAGATAGATAGATAGAGATAGATAGATAGATAGATAGATAATTGATAGACAGTTTTGGGTGGATAGATTGATAGATGATGGATGGATAGATAGATGATGGATGGATGGATAGATTCTAGATGGGTGGATCAATGGATACATAGATAGCTCATGGATGGATGGATGGATGGATGGATGGATGGATGGATGGATGGGTGGGTGGGTGGGGGGTCGGATGGATAAATGATGGATGGATAGATAGATGATGGATGGATGGATAGATTCTAGATGGATGGATTGATGGATACATAGATAGCTCATGGATGGATGGATTCTAGGTGGATGGATGGATAGATGGATACATAGATAGCTCATGGATGGGTGGATGGATGGATGGATGGGTGGATGGATGGATAGATGATGGATGGATAGATGATGGATGGATGGATGGATAGATTCTAGATGGATGGATCGATGGATACATAGATAGCTCATGGATGGATGGATTCTAGGTGGATAGATGGATAGATGGATACATAGATAGCTCGATGGATGGATGGATGGATAGATAGATAGGTGATGGGTGGATGGATAGATTCTAGATGGATGGATGGATGGATGGATGGATACATAGATAGCTGATGGATGGATGGATAGGTAGATGTTAGGTGGGTGGATAGATGGATACATAGATAGTGATGGATTGATCAATCAACAGGTAATAGATGGACAGACAGACAGACAGACAGACAGACAGATAGATAGATAGATAGATAGATAGATAGATAGATAGATAGATATGATAGGTAGATAGAGATGATAGAATCATAGAGTTGGAAGAGACCCCTTTCCAATGGACTGGTGAATTCATAGACAGAGATAGATAGGCAGACAGACAGACAGATAGATTGACGAGTAGAAGCAGCTATTTCAGTCCCTTTGTGGCCACAGCTGTCAATCAAACCTGGAGAAGCCTCTGTTTGTCCACTTTGGGGGGTGCAGGCGGAGGCAGTGATGCAGTCGGTCTCCATGGCAACCCCCAAGTCATTGCTGCAGGGAAGCAAAAGAGGTTGTTTTCCTCCCAGCGTTTCTTTTACTTCTCCATAAACCTGCTAAGATCTATTAGGTGGGATAGACGTCTCTCAGGAGGGATCGGATTGTGTTGCCCTTTAGGGCTGGATGACCTTTAGAGCTCTCTTCAAACTCTATCATTCAATTACTCCTGAAAGTTGCTAATGTATATCAGGCCATCTGTCGGGAGGGATCGGATTGTGTCTCCCTTTGAGGCAGAAATGGGTTGGACCAGATGGCCTTAAGAGGTCCTTTCCAACTCTATCGCTTCATGACTCTATAGCCCTACTTCTCCTTAAACTTGCAAATATCTATCCATCAGGCCATCTGTCAGGAGGGATCAGATTATGTCTCCCTTTGAGGCAGATATGGGTTGGACCAGATGGCCTTAAGAGGTCTCTTTCAACTCTATCACTTTATGACTCTATAAACTTGCTAATATCTATCTATCAGGCCATCTGTTGGGAGGGATCGGATTGTGTTCAGATGACCTTCCAACTCTATCATTCTATGACACTCTATCCTTCTCTGTAAGCTTGTGAGGGCGGATGGACATCTGTCGGGAGGGATAGGGTGGGGCCTCCCTTTGAGGCAAGACGGGGATGGTCTGGATGGCCTCTTGGGGCCCCAACCCAGCTTCTGCTGCTGTCTGTCCTCCTCCAGAGGAAATGGCGGAGGGGAAGAATGCGGCCGCCATCTTGCTGGGGATGAGTCAGTGGAACTCCAACGACCTGGTGGAGCAGATTGAAACCATTGAGAAGCAGATGGAGCACAGTCCAGGTATTGCTGTTGTTGTTGTTGTTGTTGTTGTTGTTGTTGTTGTTGTTGTTGTTAAATGCTATTGAGTTTGTAGTGCAGTGAGTTCCAAGGGTCTGGCTGAGATGAAGACGGTGATGATGACAATAATTACCTGGGTTGTATCCTACCTTGATACTGGGGAAGTGGGTAAGAAGTAAATATTATAATGTAATATATTGTAATGTAATTTTATTACTGTTATTTTGGGTACATTATTATTTTTATATATGAGGGTTATCCGGAAAATAAGGTTACAAGACACGTAGCTCTTGTGGGAAATTTTCTCGGGTGAAGTTGGTATCACTGCCATGTAGCAGGAAGCTAGTGGAAGCGAGCAAGCAGTGCCAGTCGTCAGATGCTCATCAAGGGTTAGAGATGAGTGTCCTCATTCCGTTTCCCTCCAAGTGCGAAGTTCGCAGTGCATGAGGGATATCCAGAAAGTAAGGTTACAAAGCACATAGCTCTCATGGGGAATTTCACGGAGGAAATTGGTCTCACCGCCATGTAGCGGGAAGCCAGAGGAACAGAACGAGCAGTGCCTGTCGTTAGATGCTCATCAACGGGCTCATGTGGTGAAGGTTAGAGATGAGCCTCCTCATTCCGTTTCCCTCCAAGTGCGAAGTTCACGCTGTACGAGGGATATTCAGAAAGTAAGGTTACAAGGCACATAGCTCTCATGGGGAATTTTCACAGAGTAAATTGGTCTCACAGCCATGTAGCGGGAAGCCTGAGGAATGGAACGAGCAGTGCCAGTCGTCAGATGCTCATCCACTGGCAATGTAGTGCGGGTTAGAGATGAGTGTCCTCATTCCGTTTCCCTCCAAGTGCGAAGTTCGCACTGCATGAGGGATATCCAGAAAGTAAGGTTACAAGGCACGTAGCTCTCATGGGGAATTTTCGTGGAAGAAATTGGTCTCACCGCCATGTAGCGGGAAGCCAGAGGAATGGAACGAGCAGTGCCAGTCGTCAGATGCTCATCAATTGGCAATGTGGTGAGGGTTAGAGATGAGCGTCCTAGTTCCGTTTCCCTCCAAGTGCGAAGTTCACGCTGTACGAGGGATATCTGGATATCTGGAAAGTAAGGTAACAAGGCATGTAGCTCTTGCAGGGAATTTTCTTGGGGAAAATTGGTCTCACCGCCATGTAGCAGGAAGCCAGAGGAACGGAATGAGCAGTGCCTGTCATCAGATGCTCATCAACTGGCAATGTGGTGAAGGTTAGAGATGAACCTCCTCATTCCGTTTCCTTCCAAGTGCAAAGTTCGCACTATACGAGGAATATCTGGAAAGTAAGGTTACAAGGCATGTAGCTCTCATGGGGAATTTTCGCGGAGGAAATTGGTCTCACTGCCGTGTAGCAGGAAACCAGAGGAATAGAACGAGCAGTGCCAGTCGTCAGATGCTCATCAACTGGCAATGTGGTGAAGGTTAGAGATGAGCGCCCTCATTCCGTTTCCCTTCAAGTGCGAAGTTCGTGCTGTACGAGGGATATCCAGAAAGTAAGGTTACAAGGCACGTAGCTCACATGGGGAATTTTCACGGAGGAAATCGGTTTCACTGCCGTGTAGCGGGAAGCTGGCGGAACGGAACGAGCAGTGCCAGTCGTTAGATGCTCATCAACGGGCAATATGGTGAAGGTTAGAGATGAGCATCCTCATTCCATTTCCGTCCAACTGCGAAGTTCACACTGTACAAGGGATGTCCAAAAAGTAAGGTTACAAGTCATGTAGCTGTCATGGGGAATTTTTGCAGAGGAAATAGGTCTCACTGCCATGTAGCGGGAAGCCAGAGGAACAGAACGAGCAGTGCCAGTCGTCAGATGCTCATCAACTGGCAATGTGGTGAAGGTTAGAGATGAGCATCCTAATTCTGTTTCCCTCCAAGTGCGAAGTTCGCGCTGTACGAGGGATATCCAGAAAGTAAGGTTACAAGGCACGTAGCTCTCATGGGGAATTTTCGCAGAAGAAATCGGTCTCACTGCCGTGTAGCGGGAAGCCAGAGGAATGGAATGAGCAGTGCCAGTCGTCAGATGCTCATCAACTGGCAATGTGGTGAAGGTTAGAGATGAGCATCCTCATTCCATTTCCCTCCAAGTGTGAAGTTTACACTGTACAAGGGATATCCACAGTAATGTGCTACCGAAATGCTAAGGGTATGAACGCTGCTGGCTGAAAAAAGACGGAGAGAAACTTCTATGACATAGGCATCAAAAACTCATTCCACGGATGACAAAATGTATTGATCTGAATGGTGATTTTGTGGAAAGATAATGTAATACCTATGCTACAGTCCATGTAAATATATCCATTCTCTGGATTAAAAAAAGTCTTGTAACCTTACTTTCTGGATAACATATTATGCATATTATTATTGTTGTTATGATGATGATGGTGATGATGACGATTATTATTCCAGCTGGAGAAGAGGCCCCGTTTTGCTCCTCGGTCGTCCTGCAGGAGAAGCAACGTGAGTCCTGCCTGCTCTCGATCTTCTTTTGTTTTGTTTTGCTTTGTTTTGTTTTTATTTAATGCGTCAATTAGAATTGGGAGCAAGGCTTCAAATCCACCCTAATGCTCTTTTCCGAGGCCATCTGGAGGCAAAAAACCCCACTTTTACTGAAGGATTATGACAATGTTGGTTATTTATAACGGCAAGCATGTTCCGCAATGTGTGCTTTCCCGCTCCCGCCTTCTCTCTGTTTATTTAGCTTGGGTCCAGGTTATGTGACAAAGTCAAAAATACACAAGGTTGTGGTTGAACTACAACTCCCATCATGCCAGCTTAACCCCCTGAAACTCCATCAGTACTTAAAGTTTGGGTAACTTTGCTCTAGATGTATCATGGGTGGGGTTCAGTGTACTCTTTGGCTGTAAGGTAAACTACAACTCCCAGTATGGTGAATCAGACCCCTCCAACCCCTCCAGTAGATTGAGCTGGTCATGGGAGTTCTGTGTGCCAAGTCTGGATAATAATAATAATGATAATCTATATAAATAAAAATGTAATGTTCGTTTGTGGGATTAACATAACTCAAAAACCACTGGATGAATTGACACCAAATTTGGACACAACAAACCTAACAGTCCAACGAGTGTCCATCACCCATAAACAAAACACAGACACAAAACCCCAGCAGAACAGACTTAAAAAACCCCAAAATGCACCATATATACATATACACATGCACACATTCAAACACACACACAAATTTATATATGCACAAACACACACAAATATACACATATACACACACATACATATACATACACTCAGATATACATATGCACACATACATATATGCATATACATGCACACACATACATATCCACATACATACATACATATATACACACAAATATGCATATAGACAAGCACACACACATACACAATATGCATGTACACATATAAACACACAAATATATACACACATGTATATATATGCACAAACACTGAAATATACACATATACACCCATAGATATACATACACACAGAGATATATATCCACATGCACATACATATACTAGGCTTGGGCAATCCATGGTTCTAAATGCTTCTAAAGTACTTACAAAACTAAAGTTCTGGTGGTGAAAATTTCAGAACTCTAACAAAACTCTCAAAATTTCATAATAAATGGCAGTTCCTAATTGGTTCTGTCATTAAAATCACCAATAATGAAATAATAATTAAATTTTGAGAGTTTTGTTAGAGTTCTGAAATTTTCACCACCAGAACTTTAGTTTTTTAAGTACTTTAGAACCATTTAGAACCATGGATTGCCCAAGCCTAACATATACATATCCACATACATACATATATATACACAAATATGCATGTAGACAAGCAAACACATATACACAATATGCATGTACACATATAACACACAAATACACACATACACACTTATATATATATATATATATATACATGCACACATATATACACACACATAAAGACATATACACAAACACAAAACACATATACACACACTGGGCCACAGCAACACGTGGCAGGGGACTACTAGTGATAATAATAATAATAATAATAATAATAATAATAATAATAATAATAATAGAATCCTAGAGTAGGAAGGGACCCCTAAAGGCCATCCAGTCCAGACCCTCTCTGCCATAAAGGAAGACAACACCTGATCCCTCCCGACAGATGGCCATCCTGCTAAAAATCCATAACCTTGAATGGGGTTCCTCCAGCCCCAGTCTCTCTCCTTTTGCTCGGAAGCAGATGCCCACTTGAAAGTGAGAGAGAGGGAGAGAGAGAGAGAGTTTATTTCTCCCCAACAGATTTGTTGCCATAAACAAGAGCCAGCAGGCAGCCAAACAGATGGCAGATTTGGCGGAGGAGGAAGAAGCCACGGCCGCAGCATGCCAACAAGCCCCACTGAGGGAAAGAGGAATGTTTTCTTCCTCTCCTCCTTTTCCTCCTTCCTTCTTTCCTTCCTTCCTTCCTTCCTTCCTTCTTTCTTTCATTCTCCTTCATTTTATTATTAGTACTAGCCACCCCCTGCCACACATTGCTGTGGCCCACTCTGTAGGTCATGGGGGTTCCGCGTGGGAGGTTTGGCCCAATTCTATCATTGGTGGGGTCCAGAATGCTCTGTGATTGTAGGTGAACTATAAATCCCTGCAACTACAATTCCCAAATGTCAATATTCTATTATCCCCAAACTCCACCAGTGTTCACATTTGGGCATATTGAGTATTTGTGTAGAGTTTGGTCCAGATCCATCATTGTTTGAGTCCACAGTGCTCTCTGGATGTAGGTGAACTACAACTCCAAAACCAAAGGACACTCACTGCCCACCAAACCCTTCCAGTATTTTTTGTTGGTCATGGGAGAACTGTTTCGCTGTGGATTTATTGCTCTTTTTTACTTCCTAGTCAATTGGATTTGCCTTTTTACTGTGGATAACTTTTATTGCTTTGGCTTTTTCTGTCTTCAATAAACTGCTTGCTATTTTAACTCAACTGTGTGGTGGTGAGAGTCAGAGGGAATCCTGCTCTGGAGTACAACACATTATACATTTTCCGAGGAAATACATCATTCAACTCAATACCCTGCCTTGCGTGGCTGTGTCTATGTGGCGTGAAGGGAAAGGGCAGAAAAAGAGGTTTTTAACAGAAATGTAGTGGATTGCCTACATTTTTGGTTTGTCTGTTTTCTGTACAAACATAAAAATCTGACAGTTCACTGACTCTGGAGCATGAGAGGAGCAATCATTTTCTAAATTCAAAGATTTCCCCTGCATTTTATTGGTAGTCATAGCAAACGAAAAGCAAATTGGAAATAGAAGTTGTTGGTACTCGAACTCCATGTCAATCGATATGAGTGGTATGACAATAGCATCCAAACACAGTTCAGCTTTCATTTCTTATACTGCTGAGGTGAAATGACAGCTGCTCTGTGATTGGTGGATATGTCTTATACTGCTGAGGTAAAAGGAAAGCTGCACTGTGATTGGTTGTTTTTATTTCTTCTACTGCTGAGGTACAATGAAAGCTGCTCAGTGACTGATTGTTATTTTTTTTTACTGCTGAGGTAAATGGTAAGCTGCGCATTGATTGATTGCTTGAGCTCAGTTTTTGTTTTTTATACTGCTGAGGTAAAATGAAAGCTAGGCTATGAGTGGTTGCTTTGAGCATTACAAATTCCACTTTGTCTATTCCCAGACTGCTAGTTTTACACTGAATGCACGTGGGGATTCGAATGCAATGTTATGTCAAAATTTAATTTTGCTATTAAAACTTGCGCGGAGTGGAATGTTGTGTTGTAATGTCAAGTCAATTGACTGACTACTTTTCGAGTTTTGCGAACACAAACATACACAGGTTGAGATTTTATACATAAAGATTATTATGTCCTTCTTTGACATTCTTCTACCACTTCATTTTTATTATTATTGTTATTATTATTATTATTATTATTTTATATTATATTCTTTATTATTATTATTATTTTATATTATATTCTTTATTATTATTATTATTATTATTATTTTCTTCTATTATATTCTTTATTATTATTATTATTATTATCATCATCATCATCTTAATATATTCTTCTTCATTCATTAATTTAGGGGAATTGTACCGGGCCTCTCTACGGAAGCACCGCTATCCCGCTCAGGGCAGCATCGAGATCCATGAAGACAATGAGGTGAGGATTTGAATAAAAAGGGGCGTGTCAGTCTAACAAGGAAGGGGATAGGAGGAGGAAAGAGAGGGGCATTTGAATAAAAAGGGGTCTGTCCCTGAGGAGGAAGGGCATAGGAGAAGGAAAGAGGGTATCATGTCCTTTCCTGGTGTTGTGTGAAATCGTGAAAGTAGGCTATGCCTTGGCCTGCAGCTCACGTGAAGCAAGGCTATGAAGGAGAGGGCCAAACTGAGAGAAATGAGGTGAGAAGGAAACCAACTGTCAGATGGAACTTTGTTGTAACCATACTGTATGTTTTGAGAAATAAAGCCCTTCCAGTCTGTCTGTGAGGTAATTTCTCCTCTAGAAAACTGTATATCAGGACAGAGAGGGGCATTTGAATAAAAGGGGAATGTCTCTGAGAAGAAAGGGGATAGGAAGAGGGTATCGTGGCCTTTTCTGGTGTTGTGGGGAATCGTGAAAGTAGGCCATGCCTTGGTCTGTAGCTCACGTGAACCAAGGCTGTGAAGGGGAGGGCCAAAGTGAGAGATATGAGGTGAGAAGGAAACCAACTGTCAGATGGAACTTTGTTGTAACCGTACTGTATGCTTTGACAAATAAAGCCCTTCCAGTCTGTCTGTGAGGTCATTTCTCCTCTAGAAAACTGCATATCAGGACAGAGAGGAGCATTTGAATAAAAAGGACGTGCCTCTGAGAAGAAAGGGGATAGGAGGAGGGAAGAGAGGGGCATTTGAATAAAAAGGGGTGTGTCCCTATGGAGGAAGAGCATAGGAGAAGGAAAGAGGGTATCATAACCTTTCCTGGTGTTGTGGGGAACCATGAAAGTAGGCCATGCCTTGGCCTGCAGCTCACGTGAAGAAAGGCTGTGAAGGGGAGGGCCAAAGTGAGGGATATGAGGTGAGAAGGAAACCAACTGTCAGATGGAACTTTGTTGTAACCATACTGTATGTTTTGAGAAATAAAGCCCTTCCAGTCTGTCTGTGAGGTAATTTCTCTAGAAAACTGCATATCAGGACAGAGAGGGGCATTTGAATAAAAGGGGAGTGTCTCTGAGAAGAAAGGGGATAGGAAGAGGGTATCATGACATTTTTCTGGTGTTGTGGAACCGTGAAAGTAGGCCATGCCTTGGCCTGTAGCTCACGTGAAGCAAGGCTGTGAAGGGGAGGGCCACAGTGAGAGAAATGAGGTGAGAAGGAAACCAACTGTCAGATGTAACTTTGTTGTAACAGTACTGTATGTTTTGAGAAATAAAGCTCTTCCAGTCTGTGAGGTAATTTCTCCTCTAGAAAACTGCATATCAGGACAGAGAGGGGTATTTAAATAAAAGAGGGCGTGTCTCTGAGAAGGGCATAGGAGGAGGAGGAAAGAGAGGGGCATTTGAATAAAAAGGGGTGTGTCCCTATGGAGGAAGAGCATAGGAGAAGGAAAGAGGGTATCATAACCTTTCCTGGTGTTGTGGGGAACCATGAAAGTAGGCCATGCCTTGGCCTGCAGCTCACGTGAAGCAAGGCTATGAAGGAGAGGGCCAAACTGAGAGAAATGAGGTGAGAAGGAAACCAACTGTCAGATGGAACTTTGTTGTAACCATACTGTATGTTTTGAGAAATAAAGCCCTTCCAGTCTGTCTGTGAGGTAATTTCTCTAGAAAACTGCATATCAGGACAGAGAGGGGCATTTGAATAAAAGGGGAGTGTCTCTGAGAAGAAAGGGGATAGGAAGAGGGTATCATGACCTTTACTGGTTTTGTGGGGAACCGTGAAAGTAGTCCATGCCTTGGTCTGTAGCTCACGTGAAACAAGGCTGTCAAGGGGAGGGCCAAAGTGAAAGATATGAGGTGAGAAGGAAACCAACTGTCAGATGGAACTTTGTTGTAACCGTACTGTATGCTTTGAGAAATAAAGCCCTTCCAGTCTGTCTGTGAGGTAATTTCTCCTCTAGAAAACTGCATATCAGGACAGAGAGGGGCATTTGAATAAAAGGGGGCGTGTCCCTGAGAAGAAAGGGGATAGGAAGAGGGTATCATGACCTTTACTGGTTTTGTGGGGAACCATGAAAGTAGGCCATGCCTTGGTCTGAGCTCATGTGAAACAAGGCTGTGAAGGGGAGGGCCAAAGTGAGGGATATAAGGTGAAAGGGAAACCGACTGTCAGATGGAACTTTGTTGTAACCGTACTGTATGTTTTGAGAAATAAAGCCCTTCCAGTCTGTCTGTGAGGTAATTTCTCCTCTAGAAAATTGTATATCAGGACAGAGAGGGGCATTTGAATAAAAGGGGGTGTGTCCCTGAGGAGAAAGGGGATAGGAGGAGGAGGTAAGAGAGGGGCATTTGAATAAAAAGGGATGTGTCCCTGAGAAGGAAGGGGATAGGAGGGGAGAGTAACGGCAGGCAGGCAGAGAGCCCAATAGGGGGAGTCAACTAACGCATCTGCCTCTGGGAGTCCTCAGTGTGGACTAGGAGCTTGTGCAAGATGACTCCTTTTTTGTCCTTCACAGGAAGGGTCTGCACACCCGAGCTGCACAACGCAGGTCCTGATCCTGGTCCTGCATGGAGGCAACCTGCTGGAATCGGGATCCGGGGAGGAGACAGCGAGCAGCAAGGAGTCTGATCTCAGCACATTTGCAGCTGCTTTCGAGGAGGTCGCCCGCGCCCACTTCCCCTCTGCCACCTCCGGACGTATCCGGCTCCGCTTGGTGCCTTGTCCGGCCGTCTGCGCCGAGGCCTTCTCCCTCATTGCTCAGTGAGTATTATATTATATTATATTTATTATTATATTATAATTATATTATTACATTATTATATTGTATTTATTATTATACTATTTTATTTTTATTCTTATTTTATATTTATTATAATTTTATATTATATTATATGTACTATATCATAACTATTGAATTAAATTATTATTATATTGTTATATTATTATATTTATTCATTATGATATTATAACATATTATCATATTTATTATTATATTACATTTATTATTGCACTATTATATTATATTATAATTATATCACATTCATATATTGTATTATATTATATTATAATATGTACTATATTAAATTATTGAATTAAATTATTATTATATTGTTATATTATTATATTTATTCATAATATATAATTATTATTATTATATTATTATATTATTATATTTATTCATTATATATTATCATATTTATTTTTATATTACATTTATTATTATATAGTATTATATAATATTATAAATATATCACATTCATATATTGTATTATATTTATTATATTATAATTATATACTATTATATTATACATATTATTTTTATTGTTTTATATATATTTATTATAATTTTGTATTTATTATAATTTTATATTATATTATATTTAAGGTAAAGGTAAAGGTTGTCCCCTGACATTAAGTCCAGTCATGTCCGACTCTGGGGTGTGGTGCTCATCTCTATTTCTAAGCCGAAGAGCCGGCATTGCCCGTAGACACCTCCTAAGTCATGTGGCCAGCATGACTGCATGGAGCGCCGTTACCTTCCTGCCAAAGTGGTACCATGACTGCATGCAAGCTCAGCAGCTCAGTGCTTTAACCCACTGCACCACTGGAGGCTCCTTACATTATATTTACTATATCATAATTATTGAATTAAATTATTATATTATTATTATTATTGTTATTATTATTATTTATATAATAATTTATTAATTATTACGTTATATTTATTACATTTATATTCATTATTATATAGTACCATATTTATTTATTATTATATTATATTCATTACATTTATGTTTATTATTATATTGTACTATATTTATTAATATAATTGTATTATATTATTATATTATATTTATTATTACTGTATATTTATCATTATATTATCTTATTATATTATAATTGTATTGCATTATTATAACACTGTATAACAACATTTCTGTTCCTGGGTTGTCAATGACATTTCCTAATTGGTTCTCTCATAAAGTTGATTAAATTGCACAAACTTCGCGGTGTTGGGCTGGATGGCCATCTGCCAGGTGGGATTTGATGGTACTTTTCCTGCAGAAGGGGGCAGGACTCAATGACCTGGGGGTCCTTTCCAACTCTAGGATTCTATGATAGAAGGAGAGTTCCTTATATATTGTTGTTGGTGGTCCCGGAAAGAGGGTGCACCGTACCATTCGTAGTGAGTTGTAATGGAAGCAATAGAGGCCGTGCCTTCCTATATGTCGATGACATGTTGTTAGCGGTCACCTGTTCCAGCAACAATGGTACGTTTCAGCACCTGTTGTGTCCTTCTTTGTGGAAAAACAATTCACTCCTCCCTTCCTCTCTTCCTTCCTTGCAGCCTGATGCCCTTCAGCGAGGAGGAGGGCACACTGGGGGTCAGTGAGGACCACCTCCCACTGGCTGCCCTCCCGCTGCTGGCCATCTCCTCCCCGGAGTACCAGGGCGCAGTTGCCACTGTCATCAGCCGCGCCAACCAGGTCTATGCCCAGTTCCTTCGCTCCCCCGAGGGACTTGGATTCAGCGGCCAGGTAGGCTCCCCATAGAGATATCTCTATGCGCATTTATAATGCGCAGTCACGTGTTGGGGACATCCTGGGCTTGTTGTTGTTGTTGCTGCTGCTGCTGCTATTGTTATTATATTCTCCTTCCTTCTGGTGCAGGTCTGCCTGATTGGGGACTGTGTGGGGGGCATCCTGGCCTTCGACGCCATCTGCTTCAGCGCAGGGCTGGCTGACGAGAGCCAGGCCAGCAGCCGCCGGGGCAGCGCCAGCAGTGCGCAGGTACTAGGCATGTGCAATCCCAAAAGAATTGTTCTATACTGTGTTCAAAAGTAGGGGGCGCTGGCACTTCATTACTAAAGTCCTTTCCAAATTTTGGGGTTAAAAATTTTCAAAACTTTACGAAACTTCCAAATCTTCGTAAGTACTTCCTTAATGGCGGTCACACATTTATTTGTTTATTTATTTATTTGCAGCATTTATATTCCACCCTTCTCACCCCGCAGGGGACTCAGGGCGGATTACAATGGCAAACATTCAATGCCATAGACACACAATATATATATAGACAGACACTCAGAGACTATTTAACATTCCAACTTCTGGCCACCAGGAGAGCTGTCACTCCCTCATTCTTTGCATATTTCCTGGAGATATTTATGGCCTCGTAAATCAGTTAAATTAGCCTCCCCACAAAGTACCTAATTTTCATACTTGTCAGATGTAACTGTTTTTTGGGCCGCAAAGGTCAACAACAAACTACACAATTTTGGTTGGGAGCTCACTCTAACCCAAGCTGGCTTTGAACTCATGACCTTTTGGTCAGTAGTGATCTTAATGCAATTGTACCACAGTCCCGGTGCGCATTAAAGAAAACATTATGAAACGTCAGGAGAAATGCCTCTGGAACATGGCCCTATAGCCCGAAAAAACCCACAAGAACCTAGTGATTCCAGCCATGAAAGCCTTCGACAATACATTGAAAACATTACTGTCAGTGGGGAAATTTGAGGGGCTTCTCTCTCCCTCATATTTTGAGGTATCATGATGAAACTTGCTATAATGGTAGAAAACACTGACCACTATTAGCGCACCGAATTTCAGAATGTTTGCCATATCCATGGATTTTTGGCAAATTTTCAAAGTAAACATTACTGTCAGTGGGGAAATTTGAGGGGCTTCTCTATCCCTCATATTTTAAGCTATTGTGATGAAACTTGCTACAATGGTAGAAAACATTGACCACTATTAGCACACCAAATTTCAGAATGTTTGACATATCCATGAATTTTTGGCAATTTTTCAAAGTTTTTTTAGCGCTCTCTGCCTCTGTCAGCCCTGATTGGCTGAGAGGCATGCCAACACGTTTGGCTTCGCCTCTCACAGGGCTTGGTTGCCTTCTGAATTTCAGCTCCGTCACAGGTACATCTGAACACATCCAAAACTCAAGAATCGCAGGCTCCTTTTGATTCAAATTCTTAATATTGGGGGGAAGTAAGGGTGTCGGAACTCGTTTCAAAAGTGCTAAATATCCGAACTAGATCCGAATCAAGGGTATTTCCGCATCAAACGCTCAAGTCTGGCAGGTACGCATTCGGCTGTTTGCTCAAAGGGCCGAGCCAGAAGGGCTTCAAATAGCCAGGAAATCGTATCTGGCCGCTCTTCTTACAGGAGTGGGACCGGAGGCATTTATCGCTCAAAAAAGGGACGTTCGCTCTGTTCCGGCCACACGCCGAGCTTTTGACAAACGGAGCTATTATCCGCTCCTCGCTGTTTTGCAAAGATCACAGGCTGGCCTCCCAGGGCTTTGGATGCCAAGGAAACGCACAAATTGCTCTCCTTGCCATTCAGTTATAATAAGCTCCTTAGAAGCCCTGAAGCTCAATCGATTCTCAGGTCTTTTGTGCTCGAGCTCGCTGGCTCCCTGTCGGGAAGGCTTTGATGGTGCCTTTCTTTTGTGGCAGAAGGGGGCTGTACGCAATAGCCCTCCCAACTCTAGGATGCTACGATATTACATCTAGCATATCTTTCTCTCTCTGAAAAATATCTCTCTTTGGATGGCCATCTGCCGGAAGGGCTTGGGTGGTGTCCTTCCTGGCAGAAAGAAAGGGGTTGGACCAGATCTATTTGGCTTCCTCCCTTTTTGTTGTCATAGAATCATAGAACCAAAGAGTTGGAAGAGACCTCATGGGCCATCCAGTCCAACCCCCTGCCAAGAAGCAGGAATATTGCATTCAAAGCACCCCTGACAGATGGCCATCCAGCCTCTGTTTAAAAGTTTCCAAAGAAGGAGCCTCCACCACACTCCGGGGCAGAGAGTTCCACTGCTGAACGGCTCTCACAGTCAGGAAGTTCTTCCTCATGTTCAGATGGAATCTCCTTTCTTGTAGTTTGAAGCCATTGTTCCATTGCATCCTAGTCTCCAGGGAAGCAGAAAACAAGCTTGCTCCCTCCTCCCTGTGGCTTCCTCTCACATATTTATACATGGCTATCATATCCCCTCTCAGCCTTCTCTTCTTCAGGCTAAACATGCCCAGTTCCTTAAGCCACTCCTCATAGGGCTTGTTCTCCAGATCCTTTATCATTTTAGTCGCTCTCCTCTGGACACATTCCAGCTTGTCAATATCGCCTTGAAGGACAATTCGCTCTAGGAACTACAAGAGGGATCCTCTTGAATTTTTGCACAATGATACAACACAAGCAGGGTGTCAATCCTGCAAAGTTTCAGAAAGATTCGCCCATCTACTAATTTTTAGAAAATTATTTGTACAAATTGTATTTTAAAAATTCCTAAAAATCAGTAGATGAACGAATCTTTCTGAAACTTTGCAGGATTGATGCCCTGCTTGTGTTGCCTCACTCTGCAGAAATTTAAGGTGATACCTCTTTTATAAATAATTATTTATACAATCAGTAGATGATCCAAACATTCTGAAACTTGGCAGGCTTGAGGCCCTCAAAGTTGCCTATGAGTATGCCAGGTTTCACTGTCTTTGCCTTGAAGGACAACTCGCTCTCGGCCGAAGACTCGAACCTGGGGGAGGTCCAGCGACTTAGCAAGAGCAACAACGACATCTCAGAGAAGATGGATGAGGGGGAGGATGACCAGCCGCCCAGGCAACCATTGCAGCGGAAACAGAGTGGAGGGTCCACCTACGAGTGCGATGCAATTGCCCAGCACCATGCCTTCCTCTCCAGGTGAGCATCCTCAGGGCTATAAGTATCATTAAAAGGATTCCCCCCTGACATTAAGTCTAGTCATCTCAATTTCTAAGCTGGCATTGTCTGTAGACACCTCCAAGGTCAAGTGGACAGCATGACTACATGGTGCGTCGTTACCTTTCTGCCAGAGCAGTATCTATTGATCTACTCCCATTTGCATATTTTCAAACTGCTAGGTTGGCAAAAGCTGGGGCTAACATCAGGAGCTCACCCTGTCCCACGTATTTGAACCACCGACCTTCTGGTCAGCAAGTCCAGCAGCATAGTGCTTTAACCCGCTGCACCACCGCGACCCCTTATTGCATTGTTATTGTTATAAAATTACACTATGTAACACAATTTTTGTTCCTAGGTCACTATTTCGTATTTCAGTTTTTCTCAACCTCGGAGTCGGGACCCCTGTGGGTGTCGCGAGGGGGTGTCAGAGGGATCGCCAAAGACCATCAGAAAACATAATATTTTCTGTTGTCCATGGGGGTTCTGTGTGGGAAGTTTGGTCCAATTCTATTGTTGGTGGGGTTCAGAATACTATTTCATTGTGGGTGAACTATAAATCCCAGCAACTACAACTCCCAAATGTCAAGGTCTGTTTCCCCCAAACTCCTCCAGTGTTCACATTTGGGCAAATTGAGTATTTGTGCCAAGTTTGGTCCAAATCCATCATTGTTTGAATCCACAGTGCTCTCTGGATAGAGGTGAACTACAACTACAAAAAAATTCAAGGTCAATATCCACCAAATCCTTCCAGTATTTTCTGTTGGTCATGGGAGTTCTGTGTGCCAAGTTTGGTTCAATTCCATCATTGGTGGAATTCAGAATGCTCTTTGATTATAGGTGAACTATAAATCCCAGCAACTACAACTCCCAAATGACAAAATCAATCCCCTCCAACCTCACCAGTATTCAAATTTGGGCGTATTGGATAGTTTGGATTTGAAAATACATCCTGCATATCAGATATTTACATTACGATTCACAACAGTAGCAAAATTACAGTTATGAAGTAGCCTCAAAAATAATGTTATGGTTGGGGGTCACAACAACATGAGGAACTGTACTAAGGGGTCGCGGCATTAGGAAGGTTAAGAACCACTGTCCTATTTGGTTCTAACATTAAAAAAAATAGGAAAAGTTTATTAAGCTGCCACAAATTTGTCTTTGTGGTAGGGACATCATCCTGCAGCACTTTTTGCTCTAGTTTTCCAATGAATCATCGAGTCTGAACCAACTGCAACCTAGTTTGTGTCACAAAAAATAACAAAGATTCTGCAGCTTTCAAAGTAAGGATTTTGCAATTAAACAGCAATAACTCTTTAAAACCAGAAACAGAATATTATTTTCAAATTGTGTTACACAGTGTTATCAGATAGCCCCCAAATCCTCCAGAGTGTCTGTCTCCAATCAAACACTGGAGGAAAGGAGATCGTGCAATAGGCTTATTTGGTCAAAGCACCCTGCTGGGTGAACAGGGGAAGTGCTGCACACAAACAGAGATGCAGTTCAGCTTTGTAGCCAAAACCTTGTGCATGCGGGCCATTTCATCCCATTTGTGCCTCACCTCGATCTCTTTCTTGGTTTCAGCTCTTTATCAGTATTCCTGCACCTGCTTTTCCTCAGCTATCGATTCCCTCTCCTCTTTCTCTCCCCTGCGGCACCTGCTTGTTACTAGGCTTTTCTCTTTTGAACTTTCCCCTTTCCTCTTGCTTCTCTCCCCACAGCATCCACTCTACCATGTTGGATGAGGACTTCCCTGCTGAAGAGGCGCCCAATGCGGCGGACCTGAGCCTGGGCCGCTTTGATTTTGAGGTGTCGGACTTCTTCCTCTTCGGCTCACCGCTCGGCCTGGTGCTGGCCATGCGGAGGACAGTGCTGCCCTGCCTGGAAGGTCAGTCACGGGAAAAATCGTAACCATAATACAGCCAGTCCCCAACTAACAAAAAACTTGTAGTTAAGAATAGGGGTGAGACAACAGGAAATGAAGGGGGAACCCCCCCCCCCTCAAGAATTACGCTTGAGAAATGTAACTATTCCAACTGACGTACAAATTCAATTTCAGAACAAACCAGGATAATGTGGGGACTGCATGTAATAATAATAATAACAACAACAACAGTGAGCAAGTGAGCTATGGAATAAAGATAATAATAACAGTAATAGTAATGTAGCCAGTCCCCAACTTACAAACAACTCATAGTTAAAAACAGGGCTGAGACAACAGGAAGTGAGAGGAGGGAAGGGAAATCCACTCCTGGAAGAGGCTCGAGTTACACTTAACAGTTGTCCCTGTTCCAACCTACAAACAAATCCAACAAACCTGCAGAACTCATCTTGTTCATTACTTGGGGACTGCCTGTAATAGTAATAACAGTAATAATAATAGTGATAAAGTGAGCTGTGGAATAATAATAATAATGATAATAATAATAATAATAATAATAATAATAATAATAAAAAATAAGCTGTGGAATACTACTACTACTAATAATAATAATGATAAGTGAGTCATGGCTTATTGTTATTATGCCCTATGTAGCTCCTTGCCAGTAGGCCCTTTTAATGTTGCCTGCCTTTGTAACAGAATGAGGTTGAACTAGGTGGCCCTCATGGGAGTCCCCTCCAAGTCTATGATAGATAGCTAGATAGATACATACATACATATGGCGAGAAATAGATGACCCTTTGGATCCCTTCCAATAGAATCCTATGATGTATATAGATAGATAGCTACAGATGGCCCTTGGTGTCTCCTCCAACTTTAGGATTTATGATAGACATCTAGATAGATAGATAGATTCCATGATACATAGATAGATAGATAGTAGGCTTGGGCGGTTTCGTTCGTTAATTTCGTAATTTGTTATTAATTCGTATTTAAATTAGCTTACGATCCAATATTGAGCCATGCAGGAATTGTGTGAGGAGTAATAAAGATTCGAAACAATTTTTTCAATTTATTTCGTAATTATTTCGGAAATTATTTCGTAATTATTTTCGCATGTCTGGTGCAAGTTTTATAGTTGTTGTTTGTTTTATCACACCAACAGTCAACAACAGTGGGAGAGGGAAGCTTCAGAAGTTCCCCTGTCCCATTTGGAGGGTTTTTTTTAGCATATTGCGCAATCTCGTCCGCCATTAACGAATCGATTCGTAATTTTACGAAATTTCGTAAATTTCGAAATTTTTAAAGGAAAATTTCGGAATTATTAAAAAAAACGAAACGCAAGGGCCCCCTAAAAACAAAACGAGTTTAGAACCAAATTTTTCCGTGGTTACCCAAGCCTAAGATAGATAGATACAAATGACCCTTGGGGCCCCTTCCAACTAGGATTCTATGATAGAGACGGTTATGTATTTTTCTTGGTGGTCCTGGAATGAGGGTGTGCCAAACAAATTGTAGTGTCTTACAATGGAAGCAATAGGGTACATGCCTTCCTATATGTGGATGACATGCTGCTCGTTGTCGCAAGTTCCGGCAGCAATGGCTTGCAGCAGCGTCTGTTCTGTCCTTCTTTGTGGTTGGAGGTCAGGGCTGGGACTGACCATCGGTGACCCTTCTGCCCATTGCTAGTATCGCTGTCCCTTGCTATTTCTCTCTCCTTTGCAGACTCCCAAGTGCAGCCAGCTTGTAACCAGGTGTTCAGCCTCTTCCACTCTGCCGACCCCTCGGCCTCCCGGTTGGAGCCCCTCCTAGAGAACAAGTTCCACCGCCTGCCCCCGTTTGCAGTGCCCAGGTACCAGAGGCACCCCAGAGGAGACGGGCGCTCACTCCTCCTAGGTACAGCATGGGGACTCTTCGCTCGTTGTGTATCCGAATCCTGGGAAGGGAAAGGGGGAAGGAAAGGGAGACGAAGGAGAAGGAAGGAAAGGAAAGAAAGGAGAAGGATGATAAGGGAAGGAAAGGGTAGAGAAAAGAAAGTGGGGAAAGGAAAGGAAGGGTAAGGCAAGGAAAGGAAAAGAAAGGAAAGTTCAAGGAAGGGAAGGTAAAGGGAAGTGAAAGTGTAGAGAAGATGAGGGGAAGTGAAAATAAGGAAACTGGAATGGAAGGAAAGTGAAAGTGAAAGAAACCGAGGTCATGTGAAATGGAAGTGAAAGTGAAAAGAAGGGAAGAGAAGGTGAAGAAAACAGAAGGGAAGGGAAGGAAAAGGAAAAGAAAGGAAGGGTAAAGAGAAGAAAGTGGGGGAAAAAAGGAAGGTAAGGCAAGGTCATGAAAGGAAAGGAAAGTTCAAGGAAGGGAAGGTGAAGGGAAGTAAAAGTGTAGAGAAGATGAGGGGAAGTGAAAAGAAGGAAAGGGGAAGGGAACAGAACGGAAGGAAAGCGAAAGTGGAGAAATGGGGGGCGTGTGAGATGGAAGTGAGAGTGAAAGTGAAAGGAAGGGAAGAGAAGGTGAAGGGAAGGGAAGAAAACAGAAGGGAGTGGAAGGAAAAGGAAAAGAAAGGAAGGGTTAAGAAAAGAAAGTGGGGAAAGGAAAGGAAGGGTAAGGCAAGTAAATGAAAGGAAAGGAAAGTTCAAGGAAGGGAAGGTGAAGGGAAGTGAAAGTGTAGAAAAGATGAAGGAAAGTGAAAAGAAGGAAATTGGAATGGAAGGAAACAGAACAGAAGGAAAGCAAAAGTGAAAGAAACGGAGAGCGTGTGAGGTGGAAGTGAGAGTGAAAGGAAGAGAAGAGAAGGTGAAGGGAAGGGAAGAAAACAGAAGGGAGGGGAAGGAAAAGAGAGGAAGTGTAAAGAAAAGAAGATGGGGAAAGGAAAGGAAGGGTAAGGCAAGTAAATGAAAGGCGAGGAAGAGAAGATGAAGGGAAGGGAAAGGGAAAGTGAAAGGAAGGGAAGTGAAAAGAAGGAAATTGGAATGAAAGGAAACAGAACGGAAGGAAAGCAAAAGTGAAAGAAACTGAGGGCGTGTGAGATGGTCGTGAGAGTGAAAGTGAATGGAAGAGAAGAGAAGGTGAAAGGAAGGTAAAAAAAGAAAAGAGGGGAAGGGAAGGAAAAGAAAGGAAGGGTAAAGAAAAGACAGTGGGGAAAGGAAAGGAAGGGTAAGGCAAGGTAATGAAATGAAGGGAAAGTTCAAGGAAGGGAAGGTGCAGGGAAGTGAAAATAAAAAGAAGGGAAGTGAAAGTCTAGGGAAGATGAAGGGAAATGAAAAGAACGAAAGGGGAATGGAAGGGAACAGAATGGAAGGAAAGCAAAAGTGAAAGAAGCTGAGGGTGTGTGAGATGGAAGTGAGAATGAAAGTGAAAGGAAGGGAAGAGAAGGCGAAGGGATGAAAACAAGGGAAGAGAAAGGAAGGGGAAGGGAAACGATAGGGAAGGAAAGTAAAAGTTCAGGGAAGATGAATGGAACAGAAAGGAGGTAAAGTGAAAGTGAAAGCGAGGGGATAGAAGGGAAGGGAAGGAAAGTGAATGGAAGGTGAAGGGAATGGAAAGGAAAAGAGAAAGGAAAAGAAGGCAAAGGGAAGGAAATGGAAGGGAAGGGAAACGAATGGAAGGTGAAGGGAATTGAAGGGGAAAGTAAAAGGAAGAGAAGGAAAGGGAGAGGAACGGAAGGGAAAGGAACTGAAAGGAAGGACTGTGAAATGAAGTAAAATGAAAGTGCAGGGACGATGAATGGAACAGAAGGGAGGTAAAGTGCAAGAAAAAGGAAGGGAATGGAAGGGAAGAGAAGGCAAAGGGAAGGAAACAGAAGAGAAGGAAAGCAAATGGAAGGTGGAGGAAATGGAAGGGGAAAGTAAAAGGAAGAGAAGGAAAGGGAGAGGAACGGAAGGGAAAGGAACTGAAGGGAAGGACAGTGAAAGGAAGGAAAGTGAACATGAACGGAAGATGAATGGAACAGAAGGGAGTGAAATGAAAGAGAGGGAACGGAGGGGAAGAGAAGGCAAAGGGAAGGAAATGGAAGGGAAGGTGAAGGGAATGGAATGGGGAAGTGAAAGGAAGAGCAGGAAAGGGAATGGAACAGAAGGGAAAGGAACTGAAGGGAAGGATAGTGAAAGGAGGGAAAGTGAACATGAACGGAAGATGAATGGAACAGAAGGGAGTGAAATGAAAGAGAGGGAACGGAAGGGAAGAGAAGGTGAAGGTAAGGAAATGGGTGGTGAAGGGAATGGAAGGGGAGAAAGTGAACGTGAATGGAAGGCGAGGGAACTGAAGGGGAAGGAAAGTGAAGGTGAACAGAAGGGAAGGTGAAGGGAGCAGAAGGGAAGTGAATCGAATGAAAGTGAAAATGTGTGGAAGGGAATGGGAAAAGAAGAGAAGGAAAGTGAAAGAAAAGGAAGGTGAAGGTAACGGATGGAAATTGACAGGGAAAGGAAGGAGCGAGAGGGAAAATGAAAGTGAAAGGAAGAGAGGGTGAAGGGAACAGAAAGGAAGGGAAGTGAATGGGGAAGGAAGTAAAGGATAATGGGAGGAAGGAAATGTGAAGGGAAGGGAAGGGACCAGAAAGAAAGGGAAAGTATGGGAAAGAAAGGGAAGGGTGAAAAAAGGAAAAGTCAAGGATGGGAGAGGAAAAGGAAGGATAATGAAAGGAAGGGAATGGAAAGGGAAGGATGGGAAAGGGAAAGAAGGGAAATGGTATGAAAGGGGAAAAAAAGGGGGAAGGAAAAGAAAATGTTTCCCCCTCTTTTCAGCCAGAAAGGCCCGCAAGTGAGGCTTACAAATGTTTAATTTGCCCTCAAGCTTCTATTACAGTCTATGATCTTTTCTCCTCTCTTTGCAGTGGACGCTCTCCAGGCCCATAAGGACATCTTTGTGGAGGAAGAGGAAGAGGAGGAGGAGGAGGATGTCAATGGGAACGTCCGGCGCAGGGGCAGCAATGGCAGCACCAACAGCGTGAGCTCAGGCTCCACGGAGAGCCTGCTGCCCAGCAACGTCACCAACAGTAAGAGGGTGCATTATTTGGCCACCGGGCCTCTTTGCGGAGGAGCTCACGGTCTGCACCAAGTCCAATAACAAGGGGGTGGACTGGATGGCCTTTGGGGGGCCCGTCAAACTCTAGCAGTCCAATGATAATAATAACAACATAGTAATTTTATCTTTTTGCTTGACTGAAGGGGGTTGGACCGGATGGCCATGCATGGTCTATCTTCCAACTCTTGAAGTTATTATTATTATTATTATATAGTAATTCTGCTTGGCACAAGATGGGTTGGGATGGCCTTTTAGGGTCCCTTCCAACTCTATAATAATAATAATAATAATAATAATAATAATAATAATAATAATAATAATGTAATAGTGAGTAATAAAAGAGTAGTAATAATAATAATAATAATAATAATAATAATAATAATAATAGAGTTGAGAAGGACCCCCAAAGGCCATCCAGTCCACTCCCCTTATGCAGGAAGATAGAATGACTATGATATTATTATCTATGTATTATTTACTTTTAATACATAGGTAATAATATCATAGTCATTCTATCTTCCTGCATGAAGGCAGAAGGGGGGTGGGCTGGATGGCCTTTGGGGTCAATATTCCTAATAATAATAATAATAATAATAATAATAATAATAATAATAGAGTAATAATAATAATAATAATAATATTGACCCCAAAGGCCATCCAGCCCACCCCCCTTCTGCCTTCATGCAGGAAGATAGAATGACTATGATATTATTACCTATGTATTAAAAGTAAATAATACATAGGTAATAATATCATAGTAATTCTATCTTTTATGATGGAAGGGGGTTGGACTAGGTGGCCCTTGGGGTTCCCTTCCAATTCTATAATAATAATAATAATAATATAGTAATTCTAACTTCCTGCTTGACTGACAGGAGTTGGACTGGATTCCCATTTGGCATCTTTCCCAATTCTAGGATATTATTATTATTATTATTATTATTATTATACATAGATAATGATATTTTTGCTTAGCAGGAGGGGGTGGACTGGATGGTCTTTGGAGAACCCTTTTGACTTTAAGATCTAATAATAATGATGATAACGATAATAATACAAAGATGATAGTATGATCTTCCTGCTTCCTTCCTCACTCTGCTCGCAGTCGCCTCCAAGTGGTGGGGCTCCAAGCGGATTGACTACGCGCTGTACTGCCCGGGGGCGCTGACGGCCTTCCCCACAGTGGCACTGCCGCACCTCTTCCACGCCAGCTACTGGGAGTCCAAGGACGTGGTGGCTTTCATCCTCCGACAAGTAGGGAAGGAAGGAGGGAAGAAAAGCATGAGGGAGGGAAGGGATTAATAAAGGGAAAGAGGGAGGGAGGAAAAAAGGAAGGGAAGGAGGGACGGAGGAAAGGAAGGTGAAAAGAAAGAAAGGAAGGGGGAAGGAAGGAAAGAAAGAGGGAAGGAAGGAAGGGGAGGAAGAAAAGGGAGGAAGGAGGCTCTCAGGAGGGAGGAGGAAGGAAGGAAGGAAGGAAAAGGAAGAAGGGAGGGAGGAAGAAAGGATGGAAAGAAGGAAGGAAAAAAGAAAGGAAGGAAGAATAGAGAGAAGGATGGAAGGAAAGAAAAAAGAAAGGGAGGGAGGAAGGAAGGAAAGAAGGAAGGAAGGGAGTAAGGAAAAAGGAAGGAAGGAAGGAAAAAAAGGAAGGAAAAAAGAAAGAAGGAAGGAAAAAAGGAAGGAAGGAAAGAACAGAATGAGGTGAACTGGAAAAGGCCAGCAGGACAATGCCAGGACGGACGGCACGGATGCCTGAAGGGAAGGGGATGGCTTAAAACGGTGAGGGAGGGCTATAGGAAAAAGAGGGAAGGGGAAGGGGGAAAGGAAGAGAGGGAAGAGGAAAGGAAGGAAGGAATGAAGGGCACAAAAGAGCAAAGGAAGGAGGGAGGAAGAGAAAAGGGAAGGGGAGAAAAGGAAGAAGAAAGAGGGAAGAAGAGAAGGAGAAAAAGAAGGAAGAAAGTAAGAAAGGGATGGAGGGAGAGAGAGAGAAAGACAAATGGAAGTAGGAAAGAGAGGAAAGAAAGGAAGGGGGGAGGAAGAAAAAAGAAGAAATGGGAGGAGAGTGCAAGACAGGAAGGGAGAGAATTAATGGATAATAATAGTGGCCATGATTGGGCACTGACCCCTCGCTCCCTCTCTCCAAAATGTGGGGGGCGGAGCGGGTCAGAGGTCAGCGTCTCCTTGCCTTCCAGCTGATGCGGTTTGAAGAAGCGGTCAGCGACGAGAGCCACAGCACGGACCCCGGGGCCCCGATCCCCTCCAACCCAAGGGAGAAGTGGCTGCGCCGGAGGACCCAAGTCAAGCTCCGGGTGGGTGGGCAACGCACTGCATTATGGGACAATCCTTTTGGGGGAGCGGCCTTGACTGATAGATCAACGTCTGACTGCCATCGGCTTCCCTCTCTTCCAGAACGTCACCGCCAACCACCGCTCCAACGACGTCATTGCGGCCGAAGGGGGCCCCCAGGTGCTGGTGGGGCGCTTCATGTATGGACCCCTGGACATGGTGGCCCTGACTGGGGAGAAGGTGAGCCAACATCCATTCCCCTTGAAAGAGGCCAAGCAGGTGGAGGGGTCTCCTTCCTTGTGCAACACGTCCCGACAAAATACCATGTTTCATCACATAATAGTCGCACCCCTATATTTGTGATCCTCGCATAATAATTGCAAAGCTGCCTGGATGGGTAATTCCTTCCTCATTTCCTCCTCCCCCCCCCCTCTTCCTTCCTTCCTTCCTTCCTTCCTTCCTTCCTTCCTTCCTTCCTCCTATTCTTCCTTTCTTCTTCCTTTCCTTTCTTCCTTTTGTCCTTTTCTTCCTTCCCTCCTTCCCTTCCTCCCTCCCTTCCTCTCCCTTGCCCCCCTTAATCCTACTTCCTTCCTCTCCTTTGCCTCCTCTTCACCTTCCTTCCTTATTATGAATTTGATGTTTCTGCTTCTCCGTTCTTTCCTCCTTTGTAGACTGCCTTGCCTTCAAAGAAGGAAGGAAGGAAGCAAGGGAGAGAGGAAGCAAGATAGGGAGGGATTAAGTGGAAGAAAAGAAGGAAAGAATGAAAGAAAGAGGAGGCAGGGAGAAAGGAAGTAAGGAAGGAATCTTCCTTCCCCCTTCCTCAGAGGCAAGGCAGTTCCAAACAAACTGAAACTGAGGTCTTTGTTTGAGGAATGATATTCCCTCTTCCTTTTTTTATCATTGGTAAAACTATGAAAAAACAAAACTCAATGAAACACCAGAAACTGCAGAATGAAGGGCAGATTTTTTTTTCATCACAGAATAGTCGCACACCCCCATTTTTATAAAAGGGGGTGGGATAAAACCTTTGAAAAATATTCAATGAAATATAGTAAATAACATACACATGGATAATAAATAAATACGAATGAATGAAAAACGTGTAAGAATCAAAGGTGGCTTTTTTCATCACAGAATAGTCTTACCCTCTTTTTATAAAAGGGAGTGGGATTTAAAAAGTGTGACTATTACACAATGAAATACAAAAAATAACATACAACTGCGTAATAAATAAATATGAATGAATGAAAAACGTGGAAGAATCAAAGGTGGCTTTTTTCATCACAGAATAGTCTCACCCTCTTTTTTATAAAAGGGAGTGGGATTAAAGAAGTGTGACTATTACACGATGAAATACAGTAAATAACATACAACTGGGTAATAAATATAAATATAAATGAATGAATGCATAAATAACTATATCACATTTGGGGATCCATGGAAGGGTGGGGAAAAGAAAGGACCCCCTATTCTGCCCCATATTGTTGTTGTTGTTGTTATTCCAGGTGGACATCCTGGTGATGACGGAGCCCTCCTCCGGACGCTGGGTCCCCTTCGACACAGAGATCACCAACAGCAGTGGGAGGGTCTCCTACGCTATCCCCAAGGAGAAGCGCCTCCCAGTAGGGGTCTTCCCCATCAAAATGGTGGTCAGGTGAGTGAACGCCCGAAACAGTGGGCCAAAACTAGTGTGATCCTTAGGAGAGTGAGTAGGCCAAAGCCTGTTAGAGTCAGCGAGCCAAAGTTAGTGTGGTCCTGAGGAGAGTGAGTAGGTTGAAGCCTGTTAGAGTCAGTAGGCCAAAGTTAGTGTCATCCTGAGGAGAGAGAGTAGTCCGAAGCCTGTTTCAGTCCATGGGCCAAAGCTAGTGTCGTTCTGAGGAGAGTAAGTAGGCCGAAGCCTGTTAAAGTCAGTGTAGTTCTGAGGAGAGTGAGTGTAGTTCTGAGGAGAGTGAGTAGGCCGAAACCTGTTAAAGTCAGTGTAGTTCTGAGGAGAGTGAGTGTAGTTCTGAGGAGAGTGAGTAGACCGAAGCCTGTTAAAGTCAGTGTAGTTCTGAGGAGAGTCAGTGTAGTTCTGAGGAGAGTGAGTAGGCCGAAGCCTGTTAAAGTCAGTGTAGTTCTGAGGAGAGTGAGTGTAGTTCTGAGGAGAGTGAGTAGGCCGAAGCCTGTTAAAGTCGGTGTAGTTCTGAGGAGAGTGAGTAGGCCGAAGCCTGTTAAAGTCAGTGGGCCAAAGCTAGTGTCGTCCTGAGGAGTGTGAGATAAACCTTTGTGTGAGAGAAGCCTCATGTGAGAAAGCTCCAGTGTGAAGGCTGCTGCGTGTAAAGCTGCTATGTGTTTGTTTATTTACATTAAGTTTGTTGTTTTAAATAGTTCAACCATATTATTTTAAAGGACTCCTATGGAAGAGATAGACCACATCTATGTCTCTCTCAGTCATCTATATATGTATCATTCCTGTCTATGGTTGGAGGGCCATCTGCCGGGAGGGGTCGGATGGTGCCTTCCTGCCTGGGTGGCCTTTGGGGCCTCTAGAATTCTAATACCTATTCTTCCTCCTTGCAGGGGCGACCAGAGCAGCGCCCTGAGCTTCTTGACGGTCCTCCCGCGCGGCATGGAGTGTGTGGTCTTCAGCATTGACGGCTCCTTTGCCGCCAGCGTCTCCATCATGGGCAGCGACCCCAAGGTCCGGGCTGGAGCCGTCGACGTGGTCAGGCGAGTGGGCAGTGTCCGTTCCAGCCTCCCTTGGCCAGAGAGTCTGTCTGGGATTTTCCTGGGCTTTCCCCCTCAGTCTGGGGGAGTTTTTCTCTTTGGGAAACTGGGAATTTCCCTGCATTCCTCCCTCCTTCCATCCATCCAAAGGGAGTTTTGGAAAGCAGGACAAGCGCCTCTTCCCTCTCTCTGTATGTTTCTGCATCCTTCCTCCCTTTATGCCTTTGTCAGTCTGGAAAGATAAAGTTTGGAATAAAAGGGGGGAGGGTCCCTAGCAATCTTTTCATCCTTTCCTTCCTCCTTTCCTTTCCTTTCCTTTCCTTTCCTTTCCTTTCTTCTTCATTTCTTTCTTTCTTCCCTCCCTTCTTTCCTCCCTCCCTTCTCCTTCCCTCCCTTCCTTCTTCTTTCTTTCTTTCTTTCTTTCTTTCTTCCTTTCTTTCCTTCCTTCATTCCTTTTCTCTCCTTCCTTCCTTTCCTTTTTCCTTCCTTCACCTCCCTTTCCTCTTTCCTTCCACCCATCCTCTTTCTCCTTCCTTCCTCCTCTCCCCCTTTTCCCTTCCTCCCTTCTCCTTCCTTCCTCCCTTCTCTTTTCTCTCTCTTCCTTCCTTCCTTCCTTCCTTCCTTCCTTCCTTCCTTCCTTTCTTCCGCCATTCCTTCCCTCCCTCCCTCCTTCCTTTTCTCTCTCCTTTCTTTCCTTCTTCCTTCCTCTCTCTATCTTCCCTTCCTTGATTAATTCCTCCATTTTCTCTCTTTCCTTCCTTCCTATTCCCCTCCTTCCTTCCTCCTCTCTCTCTTTCTCCTGCCTTCCTGCCTTCTTTCCTTTCCTTCCTTCCTTCCTTCCTTTCCTTCCTTCCTCCCTTCCATCCACCCACCCTTCCTTCTTCCTTCCTTCCTTCCTTCCTTCCTTCCTTCCTTCCTTCCTCCACCCTCTTTCCTTCTCCTTCTTTCTTTCCTTCCTTCTTCTTTTCTCTCTCCTTCTTTCCTTCTTCCTTCCCCCTCTCTTCCTCTCCTCCTTCTTCCTTTCCTCTCTCTCCTTCCTTTTTCCTTCCTTCCTTTCCTTCCTTCCCTTCTTCCTTCCTTCCTTCCCTTCCTTCCTTCTTCTTCCTTCCTCTCTCCCTTCTTTCCTTCTTCCTTTTCCTTTCTTTTCTTTTCCTTCCTCTCTCTCTCTCCTCCCTCCATTCCTTTCTTCCTTTTCCCCCTTCCTCCTTTTCTCTCCTTCCTTTTTTCCTCCCTTCTCCTTCCTTCTTCTTCCTTCCTTCCCTTTTTTCCTTCTTTCCTTCTTCCTCCTTCCTCTTTTTCTCTCTTTCCTTTCTTTCCTTCTTCCTTCCTTCCTTTCTCTCTCTCTTCCCTCCTTTTCCTTTTCTCTCTCTCTCTCTTCCTTCCTTCCTTCTTCCTTCCTTCCTTCCTTCCTTCCTTCCTTCCTTCCTTCCTTCCTTCCTCTTTCTCCTTCCTTCCATTCTTTTCTCTCTTCTTTCTGTCATTTTTCCTTCCTCTCTCTCTCTGTTCTCCCTCCATTCCTTCCTTGCTTTTTCCCCACCTTTATTCTTTTTCTCTCCTTCCTTCCTTTTCTCTCTCCTTCCTTCCTCCCTCAATTTTCTCACTCCTTCCTCCCTTCTTCCCTCTTCTTGGCCCTGTTTCTATAGCATGGCCACTTTCTCCCCTCCATGTCCACCAAAGGGTGGGCCGTGTGAGGCCCGCGGGCCAGCACTTCTCTGGAAGGCCCTCTATTTGCCCTTTTCCTCTTCCTTCCTTCCTTCCTTCCTTCCTCCTTCCCTGCGCAGGCACTGGCAGGACTTGGGCTTCCTGATCCTGTACATCACGGGGCGTCCCGACATGCAGAAGCAGCGCGTGGTCTCCTGGCTTTCTCAGCACAACTTCCCGCAAGGCATGATCTTCTTCTCGGACGGCCTCGTCCACGACCCCCTCCGCCAGAAGGCCATCTTCCTCCGCAACCTGGTCCAGGAAGTAGGTTCTGATGAAGGCAGGAAGGAGTGGGTGGGCTGCATGACCTTTGGAGGTCCCTCCTAACTCTAGGAGTAATAATAATAATAATAATCTTCAACATCACCATCATCATCTCACTCTGTCGAGCAAGTCTCTCCCAATGATAACAACAACAACAATATAGCAATTCTGTCTTCCTTTATGGCAGAATGGGGTTGGACTTGGATGGTCCTTGAGGTCCCTCCCAACTCTAGGATTCCATTATTAATTAATTAATTAATTAATTAAGCTGAGGCTGGTTGACCTGTAGAGGTTCCTCCCAACACTAGGATTATTATTATTATTATTATTATTATTATTATTACGCAGTGCTGGATAGCAATCTGTTGGGGCAACTTTGATGGTGCTTTCCCTGCATAATGACAGATAGAATAAAGGGGGGTTGGGTTAGATGGCCTTTAGATGCCCCTCCCAACTCTAGAATTCTATTATTATTATTATTATTATTATTATTAGGCTAGATGGCCTTTAGATGTCCCTCCCAATGCTAGGATTCTATTATTATTTTTAGGCTAGATGGCCTTTAGATGCCCCTCCCAACACTAGGATTCTATTATTATTATTATTATTATTATTATTATTATTAGGCTAGATGGCCTTTAGATGCCCCTCCCAACTCTAGGATTCTATTATTATTATTATTATTAGGCTAGATTGCCTTTAGATGTCCCTCCCAACTCTAGGATTCTATTTTTATTATTATTATTATTATTATTATTATTATTATTATTATTAGGCTAGATGGCCTTTAGATGCCCCTTCCAACTCTAGAATTCTATTTTTATTTTTATTATTATTATTATTATTAGGCTAGATGGCCTTTAGATGCCCCTCCCAACTCTAGGATTCTATTATTATTATTGTTGTTGTTGTTTTTGTTGTTGTTGTTGTTAGGCTAGATGGCCTTTAGATGCCCCTCCCAACTCTAGGATTCTATTATTATTATTATTATTATTATTATTATTATTATGCTAGATGGCCTTTAGATACCCCTCCCAACTCTAGGATTCTATTATTATTATTATTATTATTATTATTATTATTATTATTATGCTAGATGGTCTTTAGATACCCCTCCCAACTTTAGGATTCTATTATTATTATTATTATTATTATTATTATTATTATTATTATTATGCTAGATGGCCTTTAGATGCCCCTCCCAACTCTAGGATTCTATTATTATTATTATTATTATTATTATTATTATGCTAGATGGTCTTTAGATACCCCTCCCAACTCTAGGATTCTATTATTATTATTATTATTATTATTATTATTATTATTATTATTAGGATAGATGGCCTTTAGAGGTCCCTTCTGACTCTAGGATTCCGTTATTCTAAACATCATAATCAAGCAGAGGCTGGATGGTCATCTGTTGGGGGAGCTTTGAATTGTGCTTTCCCTGCCTAATGACCAATAGAACAAAAGGGGTTGGGCTAGATGGCCTTTGGAGGTCCCTCCCAACTCTAGGATTCTGTTGTTGTTGTTGTTCTTAAACAAAGGCTGGATGGCCATCTGTGTTGGGGGAGCTTAAGTTGTGCTTTCCCTGCCTAATTTGCAGATAGAATAAAGAGGGGTTGGGCTAGATGACCTTTGGGGCTCCCTTCCACCTCTTCTGTGCTTCTCCCCGGCAGTGCCACATCAAGATCTGCGCGGCCTACGGCTCCATGAAGGACATCTCCGTCTACAGCGCCCTGGGCCTCACCCCATCGCAGATCTACATCGTGGGCCGGCCGGCCAAGAAGTACCAAGCCCAGTGCCAGGTGGGAGGAAGTAGGAAGTGGGAAGTAGGAAGTGGGAAGTGGGAGGGCCTGGTGGGAAGTGGGAGTGTCTGTACATCTCAGTCTGACCCCTCTGTTCTTCTCTCCCTCCTTTCTTCGTTGCCTTCCTTCCTTCTTTTCTCTCCCTCTGCCTTCCCTTAACTATCTCTTCTCTTCCTATCTTCCTTTATTCTCCACTCTTCCTTTGCTCTTCCCCTCCTTCCTTTCCTCCCTCCCTGTCCCTCCTTCTTTCCTTTCTCTCTTCTTTCCCTCCCTTCCTCCCTTTCTTTCTTTCCTTTCTTTCTTCTTCCCTCCTTTCTTCCTTTCTTTCTTCCTCCTCCTCTTCTTCCTCCTCCTTTTCATTTCTGCAACTTCTTCTGCTTCTTTGTCTGCTCCTTCCACTTCTGCTTCTTCTGCTTCCACTTTTTCTGCATCTTCTTCCACTTATGATTATGTTGCTGCTGCTTCCTTCTCCTCCTTCTGCTCCCACTTCCTTCCTTCCTTCCTTCCTTCCTTCCTTCCTTCCTTCCTTCCTTCCTTCCTCTCTTTTCCTTCCTTCCTCCTCCCTCCCTCTCCTTTTCTCTTCCCTTTCCCCTTTCCCTTCTCTATTCTTTCTTTCTTTCTTTCTTTCTTTCTTTCTTTCTTTCTTTCTTTCCTTCCTTCCTTCCAACCTTCCTCCCCCCCCTTCTCTTGCCCTCTCCCTTTCCCTTCTCTCCTTCCCTTTTGTCCTTTCTTCCCTCCTTCCTTCCTCCTTTCCCCCTCTTTCTTTCCTTCCTTCCCTTCCATCCTCGTCCTTCCTCCCTTCCTTCTGTCTTCTTCCTTCCCTCCTTCCTCTTCCCTCTCCTTCCTCTCCTTCCTCTCCTTTCCTTTCTTCCTTCCTCCTTCCCTCCCCATCCTTTCCCCTCCTCCTTCTCCCTCTTTCTCTTTCTCTCCTCTCCCTCCCTTCCTCTTCCTACTCCTTCCCCCTCTCTTTCCTTCCTCTCCTTCCTCCCTGTCTCCCACTCCTTTCCACCTCTCCCTCCCTCCTTCCTTCCTTTTTTCCTCTCCTTCCCTCCTTCTTTTTTCCCTCCTTGCTGCAGTTCCTGAGCGAGGGCTATGCCTCGCACTTGTCCTGCCTGGAGGGGTCCCTGCCTGCGCGTCCCAAGAAGCCCCCCTGCCCTTCCTCTTCCTCCTCCTCTTCCTCCTCCTGCTCCTCACGGCTGATCCTGCGCAAGGGCAGCTTTGGCCTCCCCTCGCAGCCCGACTTCCTCCGCAAGCGCAGCCACCTCCGCCGCACCCTCTCCGTCCAGCAGCCCGAGCCCCCCTCCCCTGCCCCCAAGCCCGAGCGCGCACAGAGCCAGCCCGAGCCCCACAAGGAGCACGAGCGGGGGGGCGGCCCTCTGGCCTGGGGTCGTGCCCCCGCAGGGGTCAAGTTTGAGCCCGCCCCATAGGCTCCATTCGTCCATCCGTCCGTCTGTCGGCAGTGTGTGTTTCAGGGGGAGCTCAAAGTCAAAGGTCAAAAGGCCACCGCTCGTCCCTCCTGGGTCGCCGCTTATGAAGCAACCGTGTCTGTGCAACAATCCTGCAGTGGGGTCAAGGCGATAAATAAATACCCCTCGGTCGGCCGGCTCAAGCAAGGTCATGGGGGTGGTCAAGTGATGTCATGACCCTTGGAGGGGTTATGCGCTTCTCCAAGGTCAAAAGAGACCCCCTCCCTTGGGGAAATTGCAACCCCACACTTGAGGTCATGATGCGACTGGGGGTCCTTGTGGCAAAGTCAGTGGTGCCGGAGAGCCTCCCCCACTTGTCCGAATCTGCGTGTGTGTCGTGTTGTGAAACGTGGCAGAGCGTGTCCCCAAAGGCCTCCCTTATCCAACGTGGGACTCGAGGACATGAGGCACACCTGTGGGAGCATGGATGTGTATGGATTATTATTGGGTATAAGAATTCCCCCATCTTTGTCGCCATTGGGATATGGGATGGCGGGCACTTGGACTTGACCAAAGACTCCCTTTGGATTGGGGGAGGAATAATCAAGCAAGCAAGCAACCCATCAATCAATCAATCAATCAATCAATCAATAAGACAATCAACCAATCAAGCAAACAATCAATCAGAGAACCAATCAACCAACCAAACAAGCAGGCAAGCAACCAGTCAACCAGTCAAGCAAAATCAACCAAATAAGCGTACGAACAAGCAACCAATCAATCAGTCAATCAAGCAATCAAACAACAAAGCAAGCAACTAATCAGTCAATCAATCATCCAATCGGTCAACCAAACAATCAAGAAATCAAGCAGCCAACTAATCAACCAAGCAAACAAGCAACTAATCAAGCAACAAACCAACCAATCAGTCAAGCAAGGAAGCAACCAATCAATGAACCAGTCAACCAAAATCAACCAAACAAACAAGCACGCAACCAACCAATCAATCAATAAATCAACCAATCGGTTGACCAAACAATCAAGAAAGCAAGCACCCAACTAATCAACCAAGCAAGAAGCAACTAGTCAATGAACCAACCAATCAGTCAAGCAAGCAAGCAACTAATCAGTCAATCAATCAATCAATCAATCAACCAATTGGTCATCCAAGCAATCAAGAAAGCAAGCACCCAACTAATCAACCAAGCAAGAATAAACTAATCAACCAACCAACCAATCAGTCAAGCAAACAAGCAACCGATCAGTCAATCAATCAACCAATCAACCAAAATCAACAAACAAATAAGCATGTGAGCAAGCAACCAACCAATCAATCAATCAATCAACCAACCAACCAATCAGTCATCCAACCAATCAGTCAACCAAACAATCAAGAAAGTAAGCTATCAACTAATCAAACCAAGCAAGCAAGCAACTAATCAATCAATCAAACAAACAACCAATCAGTCAACCAACCAGTCAATCAACCATCCAACCAACCAACCAAGCAATCAACTAACTAATCAACTAAGCAAGCAAACAACCAGTCAGTCAACCAAATAGTAAACCAAACAACCAATCTAGCAAGAAGAGGGCCAAGTCATGTGACAATCTCAATAGAATCAGTTCTTATACCTTTTTCTGCAGTTAGAGGAGTTCTTGAAACAGTTTTTACAAGAGGCCGCCCAGTCTGTCTTTAAAAAGGTTGGAATGGGCCTCATTTCAGGAGTGTGCAGAAATGGGGGCTGGACTAGATGGCCTTTGGGGGTCCCAGGTCCCCCTGCGTATTGTGTCTGTGAAGAGTGTCGCTTCTCGGAGTCTTGTGGGCCGTCTCGGTGTCTCCAAGCGGGAGAGGAGCCCGGTCCCTACGGAGCTCTTCTTTTGGCCGCACATAGATGTACTTCTTGGGGGAAACAAGATTTCGGGGGTGAAGCGTTTCCGCCTGGGAGGCGTTTCACGGGTTCCTTCCAAGCAACCCTCTCTCTCTCCCAGCAATGTCTGTCTGACATATCAAATAAACACCTTCTTTGCCTTTCAGTTTGTGAGTCTCTTGCATTTCCTTTCCTCCGACCTTCCTTCCTTTGAGTCTCTTCCAACTCTTAAGATTCTATGAGGCCTATCTATCTATCTATCTATCTATCTATCTATCTATCTATCTATCTATCATGAGGGTTGAGGTTGGACTGGATGACCTTTAGAGGTCTCTTTCCACTCTAAAATTCTTTCCTTCTTTTTCTTTCTTTCTTTCTTTTTCTATCTATACTTAGGAGGTTGAATTGGTTGGCCCTTGGGGGTCTCTTTCAACTCCAAGATTCTGCCTGCCTGTCTCTTTATCTAATTATCTATGTTTCTATCTATTTAATTATCTATCTTTTCTATCTGTCTGTCTATTTAATTATCTATCTATCTATCTATTTATCTATATTTCTGTCTTTCTATCTATCAACCAACGTATCTATCTATTTACCTATCTATCTATCTATCTATCTATCTATCTATCTATCTATCTATCTATATCATGAGGGTTGGGGTTGGACTGGATGACCTTTGGAGGTCTCTTCCCACTCTAAAATTCTTTCTTTCCTTCTCTTTCTTTCTTTCTTTCTTTCTTTCTTTCTTTCTTTTTCTATCTATACTTAGGAGGTTGGATTGGTTGGCCCTTGGGGGTCTCTTTCAACTCTAAGATTCTGCTGTCTGTCTGTCTATCTAGTTATCTATGTTTCTATCTATTTAATTATCTATCTATCTATCTATCTATCATCTATCTATCTATCTATCTATCTATCTATCTATCTATCTTATCTATCTGTCTGTCTAATTATCTATCTATTTAATTATCTATCTATCCATCTAATTATCTATCTATCTATCTATCTAT